AGTTCATAGAGGTAGTTAAAGACTCCATCTTCTATCTTTTTTAGAGAACCGCCGAAAATATATACATATATATATGAAGAGAGAGAGAGAGACTTGAGATCATGTGAGACTAACCTGTTTTCGTGAGATCGGTGTTTTTGTTGTGCATGTTCGATCTTTTTTTTACCTTCATAGCGTTTTGTTGTGAAGTTTCAAGTGTAAAAAAATAGTCTCACGAATCTCACAAAAAAACATATTGATCACACGTGAACCCAATTTTTTTTTTGTGTGTGTGTATATATATATACACTTGGGATCATATGAGACCAAGGGTTTTTGATGAGACCCGTAAGACCAATTCTCAACCCTTGGATTAAATCTATAATCTGAACATTAATAATCATAAAATTGCCACGAGACTTCTCAATAATCACAAAATTGTCACCGTGCAACTTTAGACCATTAGATCATTAGCTTATAAAGTTGACCAATGAACATAAATTGGTCTTACGGGTCTCACAAAAAAACCTTTGATCTCACGTAAACCGAACCCTATATATATATGGTTTATTTGTAAGTGTAAATCCAACTAATATCTAACTCAGGCGCACCTAAATAAATATAATAACAACTTTTACCAAGAGTCATTCAATCCATCCTCCACGTCTCACAACAATAAACAACACTAAATTATTTTTTCACTTTAATTAATTTAATTTATAACATAAATTACAATTCTAATTCATGTGGTTTGTCGTTTAGAACAATAATAGTTTCAAAAAATACAATATAATTCTAATTCTTGATTCTATTTATTTCAATCACAAGGGTGGTGCCTGATTGGTTTGAGTTTGACTTCAAAGGTCAAAAGTACCAGGAGGTCTCAGGTTCAAATCCAAGGAGGAATAAAAATCCTCTTGTGGCCACAGAGGTTCAAATGCGGTGACTCCGGGCTATCTGCAAAGCAGGTGGTCGTCCTGGGATTAGTCGGCTCGCATAACGGGTTGGATATCCAGGTTAATAAAAAAAATATTTCTCTGTTTCTTTTTCTTCTACCAACATAAAGATCCATGACATCGACCCTGTAAATATGACACAAATAAACAGTTTCTTTGCTTTTCCAAGGCTGAGTTGTATTCAGAAGAAGTTGTAAAGGCCCGAATCGCTAAAGCATGAAAGGAATTGCCCAATAATGATCAAGCTCACGCACTTGCACCTGCACCTGCACCTGCACCTGCACTTGCACCGCTGATCTCTACCATCCCACCCAGACGGAGCACTTCGGAGAAGACCCAACACAGCCCTCCTCTCGATCTCTCTTTGTAATCCAAACCCTCTCCCCTTGTTCTTATGCTTTAATTTTTTTAGGATTTGATTTGATTTTGTACAGTGAATAAAGAAAAAGAAGGAGGTTTGAGTCTGTATTTTGAATTTATGGTTTTGCATTTGTGTGGATTTTTCAGTTGTGTGCGTTTACTTCATCTTCGAATTCTAGATTTGCGGTAACTTGTTTGTGATCCTTGTCAACACCGTTTGTTGTACCATAATTGACTTTGCTACGTATACAACGTTTAAATGTCCTTCAAAAGTAAGTAACGGATTCAGGGAACAGGCACACTTGGAGAGCGCAGCACAACGGGAAAAGAAAAGGCCAAAGATACTCGTATTTACGTTGAGAGAGGGTCTGGAGAAGGAAAGAGGAGTTGCCGAAAAGGGGCTCATTGGCGGGAAAGGGTTCACCATAGAGAGGGGAAGTTGTTAAAGAAGTGTTAAGTGGGACACATGTCATGCTTTGAGTGGATAAATATACCAGAGTAAACTATAATTTTGGTCGGTTTGTATAATATTAAATAGAGTTTTATTATTTAGAGAAAAATGAGAAGAAAAATTAAAAAGTATAAAATACACCACATTAACGGATTCTTTTAACGTCCGTTATCAGGGACCAAATCCAAACGCTTTTACAAAACACGATAATTATTTTGCATTTTCGAAATTATAGGGATGAAATGTTATAACCCACAAACCACCAAACTTATAGTCTACTCTAAATATTACAAAAAATAACTCGTATTATTGGGTTAGGGGATATTTGGTATTTGCTGAAAGGTTTGGTGCAGAATGATTAAGTGGTCAGAATGATTAAGAGATTCTCATGATATAGTGTAAAATAAAATATAATTGTTTACAAGGAAATTAGGACGCTGAATGTTTAAGGGAGGCTAATGATACAAAATCATTCAGGGGGTTTTAAAACCATTAAGAGACTCTCATGATATAGTGTAAAATGAAATATAATTGTTTACAAGAAAATTAGGACGCTGAATGGTTAAGGGAGACCAATAATACAAAATCATTCAGATGGTTTTAAAACCATTAACAAACATCTTTTTTTTGTCAAATAAGGTTCACCTCTTAAGGATTCAGAGGTTGTCTCTTAATGGAACTATTAAGAGGTAAACAAACAACCCCTTAGTTATTTTAAATTGATTAAGGGTTACTTACATAGAGTAAATTGTGTTTTTCGTCTATGTAGTTTGTAAAAAAAAATGGTAACCACAAGGGTGGTGTCTGATTGGTTTGAGCTTGGCTCCAAAGGTCAAAAGTACTTGGAGGTCTCAGGTTCAAATCCAAGAAGGAATAAAAATCCTCTTGTGGCCACGGAGGTTCAAATGCAGTGACTCCGGGCTCTCTGCAAAGCAGGTGGGAGTCATGGGATTAGTCGGCTCGCATAGCGGATTGGATATCCAGGTTAATCAAAAAATATATGGATTTTCTCCTTGTGGTTTTGAAATTGTATGTTTCGTTCCTACTGTCTGTAATTCGTTGATATTTTGTTCAAGTCTAACACCTACCTTTTATTATGAGGGATTAAAATAAGAACCACATGGACGAAAATAGCAATAAATTTTAAATCAACCGTAAATTGTAAACCATAAAATGAAAATCGTAATTTCTAAACCAGAAGGATGATAACAGCAATTCAACAAACCATAAAACGACAATCTGATTGTGATTTAAGCATGTTAAAGGTTCACTATTGATAGTATAAGCGTCACAATGCCAAAATAACCAAACACAATGAGTTATCGATAGTCATGGTAGGCTATAAACGGCTTAACAGTTAAGTCGGTTGACTTTTGGTATGTCAAATGCGACCATAACAGTCATTCGTGGGCTCAAATTTCAAGTCGTTAGGATGAAAGTGGCCGACAAAACAAAAGTAGTGAGACAAAGTTAAACGGGAACTTGTAAGTCTATTTTATAAGTAATTCCTAAAATAGCAAGGATTACTTTTTGTAATTTGACAAGAAAACCCATAACACAATGACCACATAGATTGTGATTTTGTATAGATGGCTTGTTTTTATACAGACAAATTATATGAAAAAGTAACGTACTTTAATTTGATTTATATTTTGAGTAACGTACTTTCGAAACTTCCATTTTGGTACCTAAGATGTCGAGTTTTAAATATTTAAGTACCCGGGTAATTGGTTGAAGCATTAACCAGTTACCATGCTGATGTGGTATCCAAATCGGTATTATTTGTTATTCAACCAAATTTCATCTCATCACTCGCCACATCATCATGATAATCGGTTAATGCTTCAACCAGTTACACAGATACTTAAATGTTCAAAACTTTACATCTTAGGTACCAAAATGAAAGTTTTGAAAATACGTTACCCAAAATATGAATCAAGTTAAAATACGTTATGTTTTCATGCAATTTGCGCTTTTTATACAATTTTTTTTTAATTCTTGTAACTATTTAAAAATTTAATGAAAATGTCAGGGGTGAACTTGGTACGGTACCAAGTTTTTTTTAATCCAATACCGTGTACCAACTTATTATAATTGGTACAAAAAATCTTATACTATGTACCAATCAATTGTATTTGATGCTAACTTTTTTCGGTTGGTACATGTTGATACCAATTTTGTACCAGCTTCAAGTTACATATACAAAAAGTTGCCATTATTGTTCAAATTTTGAACGACTATTTGAGTTTTTTAATAACACATGTGACATAAAGGTTTTTAAAGTTACGGTGTTTAATATTCTATACATAAAAATTCAAAAACTAATAAATAATTAAATAAGTTGATACTATGGTACTCGTGTAATACAAAACCTCCAATATTGTATATCAACCAAATTTAAATACTTGATGCTAACAACCGATTGTAATTAGTATCAATGAATAAAATATGGTACCGAAGCAACCCGATGTCTAATCGAGTTGTAAAAATTTTAAACCGTAGGTATTGAGTTGATATTAGGTTGCTATTATTTGAACTCAATCCAACCCGATAAACCCGATATCTTTTTATTTCTTGGATTTAATATGATTGTTGAGTTTGTATTAATATATACATTAGACAATTACAATATCATGTACGCTCTTCATATATACATATTTTCAATCTATTTCCATCTTTATATAACTCATTTATATATATGTTCAGTAACTGTGAACATATATATGTAAATTGATTAAATTAGTTGATCATGATATACGTAATGGATAAGTTGTATCAAATGGTTGATGATGTAAAAGAAATTATGAGTAGAGATATAACATGTTCAAGTTTGTCTTTTATTTCCGATATACTGATCTTTTTCTATCTGATTTCTTTCTAATTGAATTTAATTTCTAGACCTCTTGCCTCTGATTTCTTGCTACCCACTGCAAATGCGTAATGTGTTCACTTGCTTTCAGTTGAACTGAAATAGTAAAATATATACATACCAATATAACGTCTCCTTTATCCTAAGTAGTAGAAATTAATCGATAAACCAAAAAGTAATATTTATTCAATTAAACAAAACTGTTTAAACCAAAAACCGAATAACTCAAAATCGTTTTGGTTCAAATGAGTTATTCGGTTTCAGAATTTTCTGGGTTCCCAAGCCCCCCGATAAAAAAACGGGATCCACCACTACAGAGATCACCAATTCAAGTCCTGCAAAACACTGAATATAATACTGGTTTTTCTCCGGACGCTGAGATTAATCGAGATACACACAGCAAACAACATATCATTCATCAATCAAGCATTGTTGCAATTAAATATCATACAACATACAAACCAACACATGGAAATATGGATACATCAACACTCACCCTCACTCTCCATGCATTAAATGTAGTACACAAACGTACAACCCATCATTGCATTAATTATACACATTTAACATCTCTCATCTCCGTACCAATTATCCTTCTCTTTCGGCCCCGTCGGCCCTTCTTCGCCGTAAAGTTCCATCGGAAACAAGTCGATCAGCGTCTCCACCGTCAGCCGGATGAGAAACGGCAGGTGGCTGATGATCTTTTCGAGCTCCGACCGCCCATCGTACAACACCGTTGGCCCCCATTCCCGCATATACTGCAACCAATCCGGCTCCGCCACGACATGGCTGCCAAGGTATTCCGCCGCCATGAACTGGTATCGTTTGCTTGAGTCGATGAACCAGTCGCTTTTGGCAACGTCGTTCTTCACTCCGATCCCAAGCTTCGTGGACCCTTGGATGTACGTCCCGGCGTTCGGGAAACTCGCGTGCCCGCATTTCGATGAGTAAACGATTGGTTTGTTTCCCTCGACGAACTCCAACTTACTAGCGTCAACCCATTCACCGCCGCTATGCTCCGAAAAATAAACGCTCCATAATTCTCCATTGAAGTTGCTTAACCGGAGTGTGAAATGCTCCCAATCTCCAACGTGTTCACCGACTCGGTTCATCTCGATGTTCAAATTCAATAGCTCGACAGTAAAAGTGACGGGCCCGTTAAATGGGCAAAAGATCCACATAGCAATATCCGTAAAAGTCCCGCCTAAAGCCGGTTTAACGTGAACGTAAAGCTCCGCGCTCTCGAGATTACCATTTTTGACGCAAATTTCGTCATTAACATTCTCCGGCAGATCCAACCAATACTCGCCATCGTTTTTCCCACCTTTCGGCAAGTTCGAACCTCTGATATCGATTGATATGCCATCGGACTTTCCTTTTCGATATAGAAGCGCACCATTCTCAAAGAACCACGGAACTGAAGACGGCAAGTAGACCTCATCCGGATGGAAGTAAACCGTGGGCCCGTAGTGGTCGATCAGCGCTCGAAGTTGTTCCAAATTCGGCATTGCTTCAAGTGTCAGATCCGTGTTCCGCAAACAACATATATTCAATTCATCAACGTCGTTCAAATCCGTACTACAAAAAAATGTCCCGACCGTAACACCTTTACAAAACATTCCCGTTTTACACGCTTTCGTGCTCCAAACCTTAAAACTCGAAACCACACTGAGAATCACATCATCAACTTCACAATTGTCAGTAAGATCATCCCGAACGCACCTAACTTCCCCGAGATCCGGCTCATCTGGTTCTGTGGTGACCACAAATCCGATAGCTCGATAACCATCCGGAGGGCTCGGTTGCCACACGTAAACATTCCCGGAACTCCATATTAGATCGTAACCGAGAGGCGATTCTAAAAGAGATCGCTCAGTTTCTGAAACTGCTGCATCTCCAGCATCTCGGGCGACAAGAACGTAGCCTCTAAGTGGTTGATCGGTTAGCTGACAGTAGTGACCGAAGCTGAAGAACCCATCGGGTATTCCCACCGGTTTATAAAACGTAACCCCACCCGTCTTTCCTTTCTTTGGGGTGTAACTCGATATACACTCAAAATCTTTCACCATCGCAACTTCTAGTTCGCCGAGGCTTATTCTTCCCGTGGCAAAACCTCCACCTGCAAAACACCCGCATAACACGATTGAGCATAAATAACGACGAATTAAGTACAAACGGATCAATGTGACTACGATCCACCGATTCGATATAATCATAGCAAGCAAATAACAAATTAAGAACACGAAAACAGGCCATAATCACCGTAAACAGATTCTAATTTTGAATTTAAAAAGTCAAACCTTCTAATTTTCAAAGTCAATATTCAACTTGGTGTTCAGATTTCTAGCTCAAACTTTTCCTGTTTTGATACTGATTACATATCCTGATGTAGATTGTGGAGTTCTTTTTTCAATTATCGAAATCAATTTCTATCAATTTTGAGATCAAAACCAAACTTATTTGACCCTAGAAAGTCAAAATAGGCAATGATGATTCCAAGAAACTTGACTTTCCCGTTGACTCTCAATCTGGCCAATTTTGACCACGTTCATGAATCCCACAAGTAGTCATTGACAAAATTACCCGCAACCCGATGCTGGTTAAACAACTTGATGAACTGTTCAAGAAAGAGTATGAAATTTTGACTTTCGAGGTCAAACCAACTTCAAAATTGATATGAATTTTTTGATCTTTTGAGAAATTTTTTAGTAATCACGCACAAATTGAGTAACAGATATCACATAGAGGAACAAATCCAACAAATTCGGTAGCAAATTTGGAATTGAAATACACAAATTTAGCATAAACAGTCAAAGTCAAAATCAAATAGGATCGATAGATATTGCAATCTAAAAGGATCCAATTCAAATCCTGAACCGACATATAATCACAGAGAAGTTACATATTTGAGATATGATCATAACCAACAATCTCGCCCAAATTCAATCAACAGGAAGAGGGATCATAGAAGGTACCTTGGGGCCATTGAGGAAGAGGCGCAGGAAGAACGAAGGGTTTTGGTTCTTCAATCAACAGAGGGTACAATTCACCATCTCTGTCGCTCCAACAACACTCAAATCCAAACATCGTTTGTCGAATCTGTCGTGGGATTTCGGGGGGAAAAAACTCAAATCGCAGATGGGTTCTTCAAAGGGAAGTTGAAATTTGGGAAGAAAGAGAGAAGGGCCGACGAAGAACGGAAAACCCCCTTCTCCCTCCCTGTCTCTCAATAACGATGATGAAGAGTCTTCAATGGATGATGGAGTGAGATACCAGCAACAAAGGGGGAGAGAGAGTCTTGGGGGAGTTGGTAACCTTGTTAAGAGCGTATGTAACTTTACTTATCTGTTTGGAAGTCGGGTCACAATGACGTGTCGTTAAATTGCTTTATATGTCAATTAATCCGATACATTTCATTTTGATACGCATTTGGAATATTTTTTTACATTTCTATCTTAACTCTTATTTTTATATAAATCCAACTCTTTTCATATAAAGATAGAGGAGTGTAAAAAATCAACCGATCTAACTGAAACTGACTGATCCAATTAGATACGACCGACCATAACTGGATATCCAATTATAAATAGATCGGATTGAATTGAAAATTTCAACATCTAATTTGAATTGGTCGGTTCTTGTATGGCAGTTCAGGACCGACCAAAATCGAATTGAACTGATCAATATCCAATTAATCATTCGATGACCATCCATTTGTCCATCCAACTATCATCCAATTAATTTATTTTCAAATTGTTTAAATCGGAATTTGTTTTATGTGAGGCTTTGAATTTTTAACTTCCTTTGTGTTGGTTTTAACACATATCAAAAGTGATTAATCAACTTGTATTATTGTTGGAGCATTGGATTTAATTAACACACTGGATGAATCCAATCCTAACGGATCATCCATTGAATATCCAATAAAAATATCCAATGGATGGAACCAAACCGATCCAATCATCCATTGGATTAGATTGGATCGGTTATCCAATGTTAATCGAATCAGATCAATTGACAAAATCCAACACCCAATCCAACGCGAAATAACTCAACCCGAAGCAGCCTAATGTCTAACCGAGTTATAAAATTTTCAAACTTTAGGTATCGGGTTGATATTTGGTTACTATTATTTGAACTCAACCCAACTCGATGAACCCAATATTCTTTTATTTCTTGGATTCTAATATGATTGTTGAATTTCTATTAATATATACATTAGACAATTACATTATCACGTGTGCTCTTCATATACATATATTTTCAATCTATTCACATCTCTATATAATTCATTCGTATATGTTCAGTAACTGTGAACATATATATGTAAATTGATAAAATTAACGTAAGAAGTATGAATAAGTTATATCAAATGGTTGATGATAAAAAAGAAATTATAAGTAAAAAAATAATATATTCAATGTTAGAAGAAAATTTTAATATACCAAAGTATCAACCCGACCAACCCATACGGTTCAGGTTGGATTGGGTTACACTTTGGTTTTGGTTGAATTGTATTAAGATTTTTCAAACCGCAAACATTGGATTGAATTGTTCAAATGTCTTCAACCCAATCAACTCAACCCATGAACACCCCTAATACAAAATAATTAATTAGATACTCATAGAAGTAGTTATAATTTATTTACTATAATTTAAATATTTATAAAAGATTATCAATCTTCATTATCATGATCAACGTTTTTATTTATTTTTTTTTTAAATAACTTTTTTATATTAAAAAACAATTAAAATAGTCATTAGATTAGATGATGGGTTGAAATTTCTTACATATAAAATAGCATTCAAAATAAATAAGATAAATAAACGTGCACCATTCGGCAAAATTTGTCTACATGCGCAAGATAGAATATGCCCTTCTTGATATTCTCATTCTGTTTATAAATGACCCTCAAATTCAAGGGTTGACTTTTCTTTTGTATGTTAATCACTGTCATTTATGTGTTTGGAGTTTATCTACAAACCTATTTAAATTGAGAGAAGATATTTTTCTTACATATCACATCATTCATATAAATATATCTTCTTATTTTATACATAAAGTATTATTTATTGATACATATTATTTAAAAGTCAAAATTATAAGTAGAATATGTATGGATACATTTTATTAAAGCTTTGTATTTGAATTCGTATAATTAACTGTAGATAAAAATAATCAAATATATGATAAACATCATTTTAAATATAAAAAAAATCTAAAAAAAATTAAAATGATCATTGAGTTTTAACTGAATATTTAATTATTATTTTGAGAAAATTATTTTATTAAATAAAAAATAAATTAGTTCGTTACTAAACTTTATTTAGATTACAATAAAAAATTGAATTAAAGAAAAATTATATAAAAACGAGAACTTTTAAATAGTTAATTTGATACTAATATCATTTATTTTTTAAAATTTTATAATATCCTCAAATTTATATTCCATTTAAAAATAAAAATATTTTTTTTCTCAAAACCACAAAACATCGCATTAGAACATCGATAGACGCAAAATATAAAACGAAATATTAAAATCAAGATATATCTCGTTACATTGTGCAAGTACCCTTCTAATTTTATAAAAAAAAGTACTTGTAACCTATGAGGTTAAATTATTGCTGGTGGGTGTCAATGAAAATATCAGACTTGATTGATGGATAAGGGTTGGTAAGACTATTAAAAATTGAAAATTTGGACTTAAATGATATACTTTTTCATGTGCGTAAAATATAAGTTACGATGATAACTAATGAGGAAAGATATGCATTTGGCATGTAACATCGTGTAATATATATATATATATATATATATATATATATATATATATAGGTTGGTTATTATACAACCATTATCATTTGTGCAACCAATACAACCCGATTTCAACCGTTCATTTCATTTTATTAAAATGTGATTTTATAGAGGTTTTGATTATTTTCTAATATAAAGTATTAATCATAATTAATGAACCATATTCATCTTTCATAATTATTTAAATCATAATAAATGAACTCTAATCATTTCCATAAATATTTTAATTTATTGGGTTGCATTGGTTGTACAAATGCGATAGGTTGTATTTGAAATAAACCCTATATATATATATATATATATATATATATATATGGTTGGGTTCACGTGAGACCAAGGGTTTTTCGTGAGACCCGTAAAACTAATTTATGTTCATTGATCAACTTTATAAGTTAATGATCTAATGGTCTAAAATTGCACAGTGGCAATTTTGTGATTATGAATATTCAAATTGTAGATCTAATCCAATGGTTGAGAATTGGTCTTACGGGTCTCACGAAAAACCTTTGGTTTCACATGATCCCAAGTCTATACATATATATATATATATATATATATATACACACACACACACGTTATATTAGGTGTATGAAAAGAGTAGATGATTACAGCTGAGTATCGCAATGGAATTGGCTAAGAAAGCTCAGTCATGTAGACACGAATAAAAGGTGAAGGATGACTAAATTGTTCTGATAATAAAATTCAGTATTGACTAATGAATTGACAGGGCAGCAACTTAATTATTGGCAGACACGTCAAATGAAAATGGATGCATGTAGATATTTATGATTTAAGAAGCAAGACGATTGTTCAATCTTTTTTGAAGAAAATATGCAAAAATTGTTGTTTGGACAATTTCGGAACATTGTAGGGTTTAGAGTTTAGGGTTTTCTTAGTAACTTATGTACTCGAATTACAACACGACTCGCTACAAAATAGAAGAGACATAATTTGTTTTTGTTAATTGTGAATATTTGTGTCGTATTTTATAGATTTGTTTAGATGGTAATGTTAGATATTTTATGGAAGCTTTAAGCTCTTTTTCATGAATTTGATGTCATTTTAGAAGCTTTCAAACATTCAAAGACTTATCTAGAAAAAGAATTCAAGTTGGTTACTAGTGTTTATCATTAGTTTCATTAGCATGATAAAGATTCATTGAACCTCTTTGCTTAAATAAGGAATATATATATATATATATATATATATATATATATATATATTGGGATTATGTGAGACAAGGTTGTTTTCATGAGATACGTAATATTTTTACATTTGAAACTTCACAACAAAACACTGTGAATGTAACATTTACAATGTTTTTCTTGTGAAGGTTCGGGTTTTTTTTAGCTTCATAACATTTTGTTGTGAAGTTTCAAGTGTAAAAATGTTGCCTCATGAAAACAGGTTGATCTCACGTGAACTAAACACTATATATATATATATATATATATATATATATATATATATATATATATATATATATATAGGGGCAGGTTCAAATGAAAACCATGGAATTCTAAGAAACCGTGTAAACCAAATTCGACCAATAGGAAAATTCTATTCTTTTTTAATTAAATTTAATTAATAAGGGTATTTTGGTCATTTTCTATATTTTTATGATAAATAAGGTAGTTATTAATAAATATTAAATAAGGAAATTTAATAATGGAAATTTCTTGAATGGTAACATATTAAAAATTTTAATATATTATAATATTAAAAACTTGATTTGAATGGGACATTCATAATGAAAATGTTTCATGATGAAACTGTTTCATATCGGACGTTCATATGGGGAGAACTTTATTCCTAAAGTTCATGAAACTGTTTCATATGGGGCAAATTTCATGAAACTGTTTCATAATGAAAAGGTTCATGATGATGAAACATGTTCATAATCTAATACTCTAGGCATATTGTCCAAATTAATACTCTAGACATATTATCCATTTTAATGAAAAGGTTTTATGAAACTGTTTCATAATGAAAAGGTTCATAATGATGAATCATGTTCATATGACTGGAATAAGGAAAATGAACTATTGATGCAACGGTTTCATCAAACGTTTCAAAACAGTTGAAAAATCGAAATAATATAATATCTCTATTTCCTAATGAAAATATTGTAATGAATAGTTTCATAAACAAAGTTCAAAAAACAATGGTCATAAAACTGTTTCAATGTGAAAAGGTTTCATTGTAAAATGGTTTATTTGCTCCGTCTATGCATATTATAYGTGTTAATGAAATAGGTGCTTTGTGATTGAAGTTTCATGGTTATCCTTGTTGCTTTGTGATTGAATGTACATCTAGGTTCATGATGATYGATGTTGCTTTGTGATTGAAGTTGATCTGTTTAGTTGGTAGGATGAAAATGAAACGAGTGCGTAATGTATTGTGTTCTTTTATGAAATAAATATATGATGAAACGAGTGCATATTATATTTTGTTCTTTATGGAATTAATGTTAATGTGAAAAGATTTCATTATAAAATGGTTCATTGATGTAATATTAATGTTAACTTTTGTTTATGGAATTAATGTTATATTGATGTTAACTTTTGTTTATGAAATTAATGTTATATTGATGTTAACTTTTGTTTATGGAATTGATGTTAACTTTTGTTTATGAAATTAATGTTATATTGATGTTAACTTTTGTTTACCAATTTGCCCTTATCATTGAAATAAAATAATTTTTTAATATTTTTTATTTTTTAATTTCCTAAAATAAAATAAACTAATCTTAGCCATCATATTAATAGAAGTCATACAAACAAATCTCAACCGTCTATCTAATCTAACAAATATCTAGTTTAATGTCGATTCTTTTTTAATATAAAATGTTAATTATAATAAATAAACTCTAATAATTTTTCATAAATATCCGCATCATAACAGATAAAACTTTTTAATAATTATAATAAACATTATAAAATCATTGTATAAAATATAGTTTTATATCATTTATTGCAAATGTGAATGATTGGGGCCCCCCACAATTCATGCAATCATAATCAACCCCCATTATTTAATATTTAAAATTCATGCAATCAATATTATCTCCATCATAATCACAAAAATTAATGGTCATCATATTTAATATTTTTAAAATATTATATTTCATACAATTATTTTATTATTAATTGTTTTTAATGGCATTTTAACATTCCAACTACCAAAATACAACAATTGACCCATTTTATTAGCAATTAAATATATTTTTTTAATACGATAATAAAATAAATTTTACCAAAAAATCTAATAAGACGGAAAACAAGCAAATTCCGATAAGAAACAAACAACAACCGGTATCTCATAACAACTAAGTTGCAGTGATTCCTAATTACGAACCTTTAGCCAATAAGACAGCTCGATAACAAATCGTTTCTTCCAAAGCACACCCCATTTGTTCATATTTGGGACCTGCGTGCCCTTTGGTTAGAACCTATATACGTCCAAATAGGTTGGATTTGAGTCGGTTGAAAAAGGACATACAAAAAAGTTGAACATGTTCAGTTAGAAATCCGTTTCATTTTTGGATTGCCGTATATATGTATAATTTTTTGCAGGTTGACTTCTTAGTCAAACTTCATCACATGTAATTATATATGTATTATTGATGGATATGTATTAATGGCAAAAATTGCCAAAATGTGACCAAAAATATTAAATATGGTTGCCCGTTATTCCTCCTTATCCAAAACATATTAATTATCACGTACGGGCCCCACATATTTTTTATTTAATCTTAAACAATCTCGTGTTTTTATGTATTGGTTGATATTAAACTATCTTTCTATTTAAAATTCATTTTTCTTTCCTTTCATTTTCTTTGATTTGATTATATATATATATATATATATATATATATATATATATATATATAGGGAAAGGTTAATTTGAATGTGATTCATATTTATGTTTTTGACAGTAAAACACCAGATAATTTATCGCATGGTTATGCGGAAGATGAGGGGTAATTTTGTAGCTTTTACAAATAGGCAGCAAACAGGTTCATATGTGAATCACTTAATTAGTTCATATATGAATCAGTTAAAATAGTTCATATGTGAATTACATGGGTTCACATATAAATATATAGTTCATACATGAATCACATAGGTTCATATATGAACCCGTTTGCTGCATATTTGTAAAAGTTATGAAACTACCTCCTCTATTTTTTGTATAGCCACAATTTTTGACCAGTTAAAGCAACAATTATTGACCAGTCAAATCCGATCTTGATCGTATGAAAATCACTTCTTTATTTATTAAAATAACCTTTGGCTATACAAATCGCCAGAGGAAAACCCGACTTCTACAATTCTACTTTTTCCCTGATTCCTCGCTAATCGAGAACAACAGGTTTGTGAAACCACCGCCGGAGGTCCCTGGAGAAACCCAGGACCACCGTCTCAGCTTCTACACTTCGCCGTACACCATCGTACCCCCTTATTCCTCTCTTCATCTTCTACTTCTTCCCTGACTCATGAGCGCAAACTTCAATCTTCTACTTCGGCGAAATGTGGAGATGAAAGGGATTTTTGTTTACAATCCGGATCTAGATTTACGGGTTCTGTTTGAATGATTTAGATTTAGGGGTTTTATTTGTTTGATTTTGATTTCTTCCAGATATGCTCCTCTTCAATCCGCCTCACAGGCATGAGATTGAGATGAATTTATTTGTTTGGGGTTTCTTCCAGACCTGCTCCTCCTTAACTTTAGGGTTTGTTTGGATTTTTGAATTAAATTTTGGGTTTGAATTACATATCTCTTTATGAATTTATACAAAATCATTTGATAATGTTTAATGTTAGTTGTATGTTGATGTTCTTCAAAAAGGAATGTTCTCGATATTTGATCTACTTTTGAATATTGTTTGAGTTTAAATTTAATTTTGATTTTGATTTTCAGTTTTAGTTATTAGGATTTGGATTTGGATTTGGATTTGGGTTGATTTATAGTGTTCGGTTATGTTTTGTGTGTGATGTAGAGTATGGTGTCAGAGATCTGGTAGTGGTCGGAGAATGAAATAGGGTCGGAGAAGATGATCGGAGAATGAAATAGGGTCGGAGAAGATGATCGGAGAATGAAATAGGGTCGGAGAAGATGATCGGAGAATATGAAGAAGATAGAGTAAATTACATTATTGGTCGTTAGTGTGTTTGGTTTGTAGGATTTGAAATGGAATTGGATTTCATTATTTATAAATAATTTATAGAAAAATTTATAAATAATTATAAAAATGATTGAATTACATTTTTATTAATCGATTATTACAAAATAAATGTTTTTAACATTTTCTTAAACTTATAGCATACGAAATCTCGTGCACTCCCAAAGGATTTCAAAATCCTATATTTAAAGGATTTCGATTAAATCCAAGGATTTCAAATCCGGACAATCCAACAAACCAAACATGGGATTGAAAAGATTTGAAATGCAAATCCTCCCAAATCCATAGTTAACTAATATGTGATACACTCTACGTCTGAATTCCCTATAATGACGCGTCTCTTTTTCCAAATATCTGGTCAATCAACTATGTTAGCCTTGAATGTATATATTAGCCGATTTACAATTCACAACTAAAAGATAAAATCAATGGAACATAAATAATGATTGAGAACCACTTTGCGTTGTGACACATTGGTTAAGTCTCAGAGGGATGTGGAGGAAAATCGCATCTATCCTAGATTCAAATTCACGCACCGACGAAGCACTTGAGGCGATATAGGTTCACCTGCGATGCATCCAGGCCATTTGTGATCGGCTAAAAGATTAGTTGGTACATATAAACTGACCTAAAAACCTGCTATATTGGCTAGTATATAGCATAAAAACAAGAAATTACATATATTGTCCCTCAACTATATTGGCATAAGCAATCTCAGTTCATTATCTTTTCTCTGTTACACTTCACATCCAATTTCGGTTATTTTGTTACAATCAAAGTCCGAATGTCTAATGTTTGTTAACATTAGCGTTATAAAACTGTGTTTAAGTCAGCTGGTCTTGTTGTATCGTATATCAACTTAAGAAAACATCAAAATCTATTTCGTTCTCTATCCCCTTCGAGTTTTTCCCTCTTTGTTGTGATTCTCGAGGTTGCTTACTCCCGAAAACAAAATCAAAGCAAATGGTAGAAAACCAGTATCGACTTAAACAACAATGAACGTAATCAAACGAATATAGCCTTCACAACGTCACTATAGATGTTGACTGCAACCAAATCAACTATAAGAACAAAAAGGACTAAAACATCATAATATATTACTATCAGAACGGACATGACCATAAAGTCAAAAATCAAAACTTCGACCATAAAGAGGCCCATGTAACCAAAGGGCCTTTGGCCTAGCGGTATCTGAGCCTCTCGCCTCCTAGAAGATCAAGGGTTCAAACCTCAGCAACGGTGAAGAGAGTGTGTGAGTTTATTTTGTTGCATTTGCCGTGTATAAAATATATTATATACTTCAAAAAAAGAGGCTCGTGTACAAAGATAAGCTAATTTGAGTTTATTTTGTTGCATTTGCCAAGGACTATCTTGAACTAATACTTATGGCCTATCTGATACCAATTTAATGAGTTTAATTAGACTTGCAACTTATTCGGTCAACTATACATGATTGTATGGTAGCGACTTAATAATACAGAAAATGGCTTTTTCCGCAAGCTTCTACATGAAGCTTTATGCATAAAGTCAAGTTTTTTTTTTTTCCAAACATGCCCCTTCTAGCCTCTTCCATCTATGAAAACACTTTTCCAAACAAAAAGTTTCTCAACCTATAGAGACAAATTAATCTACATAAATATCTTTATCCATACAAGACTTATTGAAAAATCAACCTAACAATTAAACAACAACTAATTTATCAACTATTTTATTAAACATAGTTTTTCAAGAGTGTTTGATTTACATATAACTAGTTTCAAAATAAAAACAAAAATAAATAATAAATTACCAAAATACCCTTTTTCGGTTTTTTCATGATGGTGGTTGAAAATGGTCGGGGGCGGTGGCGGAGGTCCGAGGGCGGTGGCGGGAAGGATTTCCATATTTGGTACTCGTATTTCCCAAAACTTCTGGCACTTGAACCGCTCTTCATCTCTCTCTCTCCCTCCAACACTTTCAGACAAACACAAAATCCCAAATCAAACCATTTCACCATTTCTGTATTCTCATCTTCAACCTCTCTACGCTCTGGTAATCAATCCTCCAACATATATTTCAACACTAATTCGTTAATGGCTACTCTTCCATCTTGCAAACCACAACTGCTCTCCATCTTCTTCCTTATCTCAACCACCCACTTCGCCGCCGGCGAGATCAAGAACACCCACATCCGCCATGATTCCCGGCCCATGATCCTCTTCCAGAAATTCGGATTCACCTCCGACGGCCATGTCTCCGTCTCCGTCAACCACCTTTCTTGGAAATCAAAGTACCAAAATGCTCGACTCAAACCTTCTTCCCTTGGATTCTTTCTCGTTAGAGACAAATCCTTCTCAAGAATCTTGAATGAATCTGAATACACCCAAGGCTTCTGCATGCTTTCGAGCCATTACGTCAAAATCGTATTGAGATTGAGCAATCTCGGAGCACCCATCGATCGAATTTTTGATGGATCGGTAATAGTAGACGAACCCGATGAATATAACTTGGTTTTCGGCAATTGTCAGCCGGAATTCGAAGTTTCGATGAAGGTTCGCACCGAGATGTATAACGTGGATAACAATGGCCGAAAGGATTTCCTTCCCGCCGGCCAACACCCGTTACCGAAACTCTTCTTTCTCTTCTTCGTCGTGTACACAACATTCTTCGCGATATGGGTTTTCGTCTGCGTGAAACAAAGATCGATCATCGACAAGATTCATTTGATAATGTGTGCTTTGCTTATATTCAAATCCATGAAAATGTTGTGTGCTTTTGAAGATTATATGTATATAAAGAACACAGGAACTCCTCATGGTTGGGATGTCGCATTCTACTTCTTTGGATTCTTTAAAGGCGTAACTCTTTTCACCGTAATCGTTCTCATCGGAACCGGCTGGTCGTTTTTGAAACCCTACTTACAAGAACGCGAAAAGAGCGTTCTAATGTTCGTTATCCCGTTACAAGTGCTTGAAAACATTGCAGCGGTCGTGATCGGGGAGACTGGTCCAGCAACGAAAGGATGGTTCACGTGGAACGAGATGTTGTTGATCATGGACGTCGTTTGTTGCTGCACGGTTTTCTTCCCGATCGTGTGGTCGATTCGAACGTTACGCGAGGCTTCGACCACCGACGGGAAGGCGGCTAGAAACCTTCGAAAGCTAACGCTTTTCAAGAAGTTTTACATGGTGGTGATCGCGTATTTGTATTTCACTCGGGTTGTGGTTTCGGTTATGGGTTCGATCGTGAACTATCGATACGAATGGGTTACAACGCTAGCGTCTGAAGGAGGAAGCTTGGTGTTCTATCTGTTCATCTTCCATAACTTCCAACCAGTTGAAAAGAATCCATATCTACTGGTTCAAGATGGAGAAGAAGGATGTCAAATGGCTGAAGAAGGTAGTCTACTTGAGAAGTAAGCTAGGGTTTGATGATGATGACGTTAAATCATAGTTTTTGTCGAAATGTCGGCTACACCATCACAGAGGATGTAACAAGTTAACGTTGTAGGAAGATGATGCAAGAATTCGACATTAATGAACTCTTGGATGTCTGACTGTATTGAGGAGGAGCTGAATTGAATGAGGATTTGAAGTCATTATGTTAATTAATCAAAATTAGGGTTTGTTCGGTTTTTTTCGGGTTAAAGACATGTATGGATAAAGCTGTGTATATTGATAAAGTTGTCTGTATGTTAACAGATAAATTGTTATTCGGTTGTTGTATTGTGATGAATAAACCGTCTGAATGATGAAAACGACCATTTTACCCTTGATTCTGCATTGAACATTATAGATCACATTTCTTAAAACAAGATAGAAAAAATAATAACACCTAAAATCCAAAATTCAAATGGAAAACAGTGTAAAGATATAAGGCTCTAGATTTGGTTGTTAAACATCACAATTTGCTTTCTTTTAATTCGCTCTGGCTTAATAGAATGCAAACATGAAGGAAACAAAAGTGGGAGCCAAACCCTAGAACGAGAGATGCAACATAAAGGAGAAAATGGAGATGAGTCATCGGTGTGTGAGGCAGAGGGAAGGGACGACCGATGATGGTGAGGCAGGGGGCAACGACAAACGATGGTGAGAAGAACTGAAGAAGCAGCGGACGGTGATCGATGGAGATGAAGGAGAGAAATGAGATCGAAAGAAGCTGGGATTTTTGGTGTTCTAGAAATGTGAAAGGGACAAATTTGGAATAAGGGTATGAATAAATGATCGAGTCTATAAAACCCTACGTTCCTGGCTGACCGATTAAGCCATCGACTGACCAAATAAGCCAGAAAGGAAGAGGCATTTGGTGCTACTCAAACATAAACTTAGGGGATGTTTGGTAATTGCTGAATGGTTTGATGCAGAATGATTAAGTGGTCAGAATGATTAAGAGTCTCTCATGATATAGTGCAAAATGAAATATAATTGTTTGGTAATTGTGTACAATGAAATTAGCGCTCTTAATGGTTAAGAGAGATCCATGATACAAAATCATTCAGAAGGTTTTAAAACCATTAAGAGACAAACCTTTTTTTTGTCAAATAAGATTTCTCTCTTAACGATTAAGAGGTTACCTCTTAATAAAACTATTAATTGGTTAAAAAAATAATAAATTGTTAATATCTTACCCATTATTAGAGCAATATGACGTCGTAAAGGAAACGGTCATATTTTCAGTGGCCAAGAACAAACACACTCACAAAAATGGCTTCTTCTCTGCTTCTTCTCCGACCACCACCTCTGCCACCACACTCTTCCCCTTTCCTTCTTCGCAATCTTCATCAGATTCCATCTAATTTCAATCTCAGAAACCAACCTTTCACTTTCAAACCTTTATTATCTTTCGCAACAAACGCCCTCACAGAATCATCCGATTCTCCGAAATCCCTCGACCAACCTGACCCCCGAATCCTCCTTCAAGAACTCGCTGTAATGCATTCACATAAACCCTAAATTTTCATGTGGCTTTCGTTCATTGGTTTCGATTTTACGTGGTTTCTGATGAGAATTGGATGTACTCATGTTCTGGTTTTGCAGGATAGTTTCAATCTTCCGCCTGATTACTTTTCGCAACTCCCTCGTGATCTTCGTCTAGACGTTAGTGAGATTCTCGATTGTTGTTTTTGTGGATTAAATTTTTCATGATTTGATTTTGGATTTGAGAAATTAAATCAACTTTCTAATTAGGGTTTTAATTAATTTGAGTGTAAATTTTGTAGCTCAATGATGCTGCCTTTGATCTCTCGAATGGACCAGTGATGGAGCAGGTTAGAAGTTTCCATTCAATAGTTGTTTTCTAGAACTATGGCCATTATTACAACATCATTAGCAATGACTAAGTATTCTAGATTTGCGGTTGTTTGACAGTTGCTGAATGGTTTGGTGCAGGATGATTAAGTGATCCAAATAATTAAAAAACTTTCATGATATAGTGCAAAATAAAATATAATTATTTGGTAATTGTTTACAATGAAATCACGGCCCTTAATGGTTAAGGGAGGCTCAATATACAAAATCATTCAGAGGGTTTTAAAATCATTAAGAGACAGACTTTTTTTTGGCAAACAAGATTCACATCTAATGATTCAGATGCTTCCTTTTAATGGAACTATTAAGAGGCAAACAAACAACCCCTTAGTTTTCAAAAGATTCTTAATGGAAACAACCAGTTAAAATAAGGTATGCGTACATCTTATCCCTTCCAGATCATACTTTCGAGTGGGATATATTGGGTTCGTTTGTTTGGCTTGGATTGCTTCTAGTATGCAAAGGTTTAACCTTAAAATTCAATATTGTATCTAAACAGACGAACCCAGTATATCCCACCCAGAGGTGCGGTATGCAAGGTAAGATGTGTGCAGACCGTACACCTATTCCCCATGGAATTCTTTTCTTGGCTGATTCCCAAGATTTTTGTGATGAAATGGAGTACATATGATGATGTGAATTGACCTTGTGGAAAAACTTCATTAGTGTGGAGAAGAGCTGGGAACGACGTTGTTAAACATATCTCGAGCATGGGAGTCGGCTGATACATCGACTTCAACGGCTTTGGTCAACAATCTTCCTTCGTTGGTCAACTCTCTAACTGGCAACCGCAAATCAGGCAAGAGTAAAAAAGCAAAAGCTTTGCATATAAGTAGATTACCGCAAGGGTATTCCTCTAAGCTGATTTTATATCTTATTGCTGGTTAGCACTCGGCAAACGCTTGGCCTCGGCTGGAAGGAGGTTTCAATCGATGGGGCAATATGGTCAAGGTGAACTACAAAGGGTAACCGATTGAATCTTTAGTTATATTTGCACATGATTACAAGTATCCCTATACATTTGTTTGGTTGGTTTTCTATCAAGCCCTGAATGGATAAAAATGTCTGTTTGGATTAATCTATATGTCTAGATTGGGAAGGTTTTTGTTTGGGAGGGTTTTTTCATAGATGGAAGGAGCGTATTTTTTAATTGAGAGGACTATGTTCAGGGAAAACTTGACTTTCTGCAGAAAGCTCCCCCTTAGAAGCTTAATGAATAAGGGGTTGTTTGACGATTGCTGAATGATTTGGTGTAGAATGATTAAGAGGCTCTCATGATATAGTGCAAAATGAAATATAATTGTTTGGTAATTATTTACAACGAAATTAGGGGGCTGAATGGTTAAGGGAAGCCCAAAATACAAAATCATTCAGAGGGTTTTAGAACCATTAAGTGACAGACTTTTTTTGGCCAAACAAGATTCATCTCTTAACGATTCAGAGTTTGCCTCTTAATGGAACTATTAAGAGGTAAACAAACAACACCCAAGTCATATTTTATATCATTAAGTCACTACCAAACAATCATGTATAACTAATAAGCAGCGAGTCCCATTAAGCTCATTACCCTGAGTCATATCTATTTCTTTCTTAACAACTAAGGGGCCATTTACCGACATAAATTGTGTAAGCAAGCTACAAATTCATGTATAACTAATAAGCAGCGAGTCCCATTAAGCTCACTACCAAGCACCATGGTTGTTTACCAAGCGTTTTGTAGTAAAAGCTTACCATTAAAACACTTTGGTTAACAACTGTCTGACTCGGTCAGTGACATATTCGTTGCTGACGCAGTCAGCAGTTTTATCTGGTCAGAAGTGTAGGTAACAAATTCATCTCTTACCGGGTAAGAGGATTTATACAACATGTTGCACTTTTACAACAATGAATCTAACATGGTATCAGAGCCGGGATTCAAAAGGGTTCTCATTTCAACCTTTCTAGTTTTTTATGATTGTTTTGTATCAGTGTAGATTTCTAAGGCCATGATTTCAACCGGGAAGCTTCTTTCTTCGACTTCTACATCTGAAGCAACCAATGAACAGCCAAAAGATGAAACTCGGATGTTCAAGGTACGCCATGATATTGAAAATTTAACAAGAAGTCGACAAAATTAAATCTTATGGCCCTAAAAATGGTGATTTTTGTATGACTTGCAGTTTGGAGAGCTACAAGTAGAATTAACACGAGAGAAAGCTTACATCGGCGCGGTAATTGGCTTCGTTTATGGGTAAATTTCTGCCATTTAATCCGTATTTTATTTCGTACGTGTAATCATTACACGAGTTGTGGGTTTCACGAGATGATATAAAAGTAAAAAGTACGAAAAAAATGTAGGATTATCTCATGGGAGTTAAGTCAAGGCATTCAGAATACACCAGAGAGCTCATTCCAGTTTGCAAATGAAAATGCTGCGATGATTGCGCAGGTACGTGGATTCTTTTTCATCGATTACTTCCGACCCCTGAAGCAACTCGTAAAATAAATTTACTCGTTTGTGACCATAAGACAGTGGCGGAACCAGGAATTTATGTCAATGGTGGCACGGGTAGCACAAAATGAATCTTAGTGGTAGCACTGCTAATAGTCGTAAATGTTTTTACACAACAACGGGCATGTTCACCGGTGACACGGGACCTGTGCCAACCAAACTGACTCTGTAAATTCCACCTAGAACTGAGCGGTCATTTTCATGAAGACCCCCACTTGTGCAAGAGTGTGAGCAAACGGTTTAGAAAGAATAAATACTAGCATGAGGTGAGTGATAAGGGAAAATACAAACGTGGACTCAAGATTTTTGCTAACTCGGCCCCCCGGTCAGTATATCCGAGTTCGACTTAAATAGTCTCGGTTTTCATATTCTTTATCTTTGATAGGTCCTCAGTTGTCGGACGCCTGCCTTCATCCCCTTACGTGCGTGCCCTTCTTATCATTTGTTGGCTAGCCCTTTGTATTTCATGGCATGGCTACGTGTGCCTTTTGTATTTGATGGCTTTGAAGCGGGTGCACCTTTAAGGTGGATCAAAAGGTCCAAAAAGTCGTTTGATGTGTTTTTAGCTAAATTTCCCCGTTTCGAGGGATTTTTCAAGTTTTTTAGTTGTTTTCGAGATTTTTTAAAAACTTTTTTGGTTGATTTTAAGAGACTTGTTTGGTTTTATTGGTTGATTTTGAGAGAATTTTCGTTTTTTTGGTTGATATCTCTTGTATTTTCTAATTCGTGGAGTACCTCTCAAAGTTTAGTGGGTATACAGATATATCTTTCATACCCCAAAAAGTAGTTGCGAAAATCGGTTGACCCGTCAGGGCTTTATAGGTCCGCCCCTGACAATGAAAACATAGAAAAAAGGCAAGGAAAGGACATAAGGTAAAAAACACATCCCTCGCGTAAACTGCTTACCCCCAAAAAGACAGGACCAGGGGCGGGTTTAAGGCGTCGTCCTTAAATACGCTCCTGGTCGCTTGTTTGAGTCCCGGAACCAAGATGTTGAAATGATCTTTTTATATGCAGTCTTTGCGTGGAGCTTTACTTATTGTTTTCTACGGATCTACCGTTTTATCTGGCTTTGCTACCCTCGGGTTAGTCTTGCTTGCACAACAACTTAAATCGGGAAAGAAGTGAAGCCGTACACGACATTCTTCCCCCCCCCCCCCCCCCCGAAATGGAAATGTGTTACGGGCATCGACTGTTTCGTGTTATAAAGTTGTTATTCAAAGTTTGTTATTATGATATGAGGAATGTGATGTTGTATTTACAATAATACTGATGCATTTAGAGATGGCAACAGGGTCGGGGACGTAACGGGACCCTAATTCCAACCCCTGGTCACCATCCGCTTGTATGTTTAGATCCTTTTTGTGAGCACATAGGTTCAAATGCAGTGACTTCAGGTGGTCACACTGATATTAGTCGACTTGCATAGCGGGTTGGATATCCAAGTTAACGAAGATATGTTATTATAAGAAAAATATAAGCTATTGACTTTTCAACGACTGTATTCATACTAAAATTAATGCCAAAAAACAGCTTTTTATTTATTAAATAAAATCAGAACGAGAAAGGCTTCAAGGAGTCCAGCAACAACAGTAACCCTCATTGCCGATCTGATGTGGAAGTTGAATACACTGACCACGTGTCCAACCACGTGGCGTGCACGTGCCTGTACAAGCTCCATCCCCTGTCCCCAATTTGCACAACACTTCCGTACAATATTTTTTCCCATCCCCATTCGTTCCCAAATCTGCAATATTTGCCAAAAACATGTATATACATAAAAGATATCTAATTGTAATTGAATCAGATCAGTTATTAGATCGTAAAACAACGGTTGGGTTCACGTGAGACACAACTTTTACACTTGAAATTTCACAACAAAATGTTGTAAAGATAAAAAAAAACAAATCTTCATAACAAAAACACTGTAAATATTACTTTCATAGTGTTTTGCTATAAAGTTTTAAATGTAAAAATCGTGTCTCATGGAAACAATCTTGTCTCACATGATCTCAAGACTATACAACAAAACAAAAAATAGACGTATTTGTATTTACCTGCTGAAGTGGGCAATGCAAATACGGGTATAAGAATAAGAACCAAAAAGAATTTAAATTGATTTATGTTTTTCTCCATTTGTTTTTTTTTATTTGTATTGATATGTGTGTGTGAGTGTGTGTTTATATAATGGTGAGAGGAATAAATGCAATTAATTATTGAATTAAATTTGGAAGTGAAATATTTTTGGAAACGTAATTTGTTATTTTTTATGGAAATTCTTTTTGACGAATATTACAATTAATTTTAAAAATAATATTACCATTTTTTTGTCAAAGAAATTAATGTTGATCGAATATTTATGAGAAAATTAAATTAAAATAACACGTATTTTATTTTGAAAAATAAATTACTTTAAAAGCTTTATAATAAGGGGTTTTGGATTGTAAAACCTAATTTTTTTTTTATTAATCAGGATATTCAACTCGTTGTACGAGCAGACTAATTTCAAGACGACTACCAGTTTTACGGGTAGACCGGAGTCACCACATTTAAACCTCTGTGGTCACAATGGGGATCTTTATTACTCTTTGGATTTGAACTTCTGATCTCCAGACACTTTTGACCTTTGGAGTCCCTCAAACGAATCAGACACATCCTTGTGGTTTAAAACCTGGATTTTAGTATCTATAATTTCAGGTTTTGTTTTGTATTTTAGCCTTAAAACAGTCTTTTGAAAGTATTGTAAGTGTATGTTGGGTTGGTTATGGTATTTGATGAAAGAATCAAATGTTGGGTCGAAAATTACACTGCTTGTGTCCGTGCAGCCATTTTGCTTGCGCCCGCAAGCAAACCTCAAAAAGCGGGCAGAACTATATTTTTACACGGCTCGCGCCTACGTAGCTATTTTGCTCGGGCCGGCGAGCATATGGGCAGAAAGTTTTTAGGCCCTGCAACCTGTTTAAAACCTAATGTTTCCTTCCTTTTCTTTATTTCTTCTTCACTAACTCGCTTCTCTCTCTCTCTCTCTCTCTCTCTCTCTCTCACACACATTTTTTTTTATTCCTCTATCGAAGGGTAAAAAAATTTAGGTTCATGAAAGGTGCAATCGTATTAATTTATTGTGTATCACCGTATGTATTTTGAAACTGCAATGAGAACAAGTTTTATTTGGTAAAGTTGGTTTGCAAGGCTTTTATTCCACCCCAGACCCAAGTTCGAATCCTGTTAATGTCATTTTCTTGGTCAAATGATGCCACCATTTGAAAAACAATTTCGTATATTTGTTTCTTATAGTCAAACGGTGGCTTTTTTCTATATTTGTTTTCTTATAGTCAAATGGTGTCACCGTTTGAAAAAAAATTATGGGTCCGTCCCTAGTACAAAGTGAGCAACATTTACGAACTCTACCATTAAAAGTTTGCACCAAGATTTAGTTTCAAAAACTATACAGTGACACACAATAAAACAATACATAGATACCCTTCTGAAACGTAATTTCGTTTCCCTCACGATGAGACCATGAAATGGTGGCTCTTGCAATGCATAATACTACGTGGGTCCGCCATGCTTTTCATTACATGGGATGCTAATAGCAGACAATATATGGCTAATTTGCATCATCAAATTGCAAACCGATTATTTTCCAGTGTTTAAAAATTGTAACTGTATCCAAACTATGATATTAACTGTTTTGATTATAACACTGTATTCATATTATTATGTTGAATCAAGTTTTCATTTTAAAAAACTTAAACTGAAAACATTTTTATCAAACAGTTGTTTTATTCAAACAAAAATACAGACCAGGGGTAAAACAGTCATTTCAACATTCAAACTGTTTATTCAGCATAACAACTTATCTGTTATCATACAGACAACTTAATCAATACATACAACTTTATTCACACACATATTTAAAAACATTAATGCAAGAAAAACAACATTTTATTTATTTATTAAAAAAAAGGAATTATTTAATAATTAAATTTACAAAAATAGAAAGTGGTTCAAGGAGTCCAGCAACAACAGTAGCCGGTATCACCGGGTGTACCCGGAATCTGCAGACATTGACCATGGGTCCAACCACGTGGGCTGCAATCCTCTGTGCAAAATCCATCTCCTATGCCCATTTTGCACACCATATTCGAACAATATTTCTTTCCATCCCATTCAGCCTCAATTATACCTGCAATTATACCCGACAGCTTAATGTTTCAGCAGTCAGAAGCTAGTGCCACTCATAGATCCCGGCTTTTAACGAGCTCGAGTTTGATTGGCCACGTGCGTTCCTACAACGTCACGCTACTCTCTCAGGGGCCGTTTATCACATGCTTACCCGGGTAAGCGCTTACCGAGTCTTGTTATCTTACGGGATGAATATGGCAACGACAAAAAAATTTACCCGGTAATTGATGTCGGCAATTCTTACCATGGTAAGAGCTTATTGGATAAGTTATTGCATATCGTGTTGTTTTGGTGGACTAAAAATCTTATCCGGTAAGTAAGTAATAATGTTGAATTTTACGGTTACTTATCGAGTAAGTTTTTGGTAAACGGCCACTAAGATAGTAGCTCTTGAAAAAGCTGCTTTTAAGGTCTTGTCGCTTCGGTTATAATTTGCTGGAACATATGATTTTGATGTGTGTTGATCGATTAATTTATATGTACTTTTTATCGATTAGTAGTGTTTTTAAATGAAAAATGCATGGATAACGGGAATAAAAACCAAACTGATCGAATTATTCATTCAATTAGATTTGGGACAGTTGCCAAAATTCAATTTCCATTGGATATAGTGGTGTTGCAGTCGGTTTGGGAGGTTAAACCGTGATGACAGTTTAAGATTTTTTTCCAAACCAAGTGGTTTGACATCAAGTGACTAAATTGAACCATAAACAGATGGTGGTCTAGTGTGACTGATTTAGACGGTTTGGACCTCTTGTAAGGTTTAAACTCAAAAAAACATACAGAATAGGATATCAAATTATAATATATATATATATATATATATATCTATCTTTAGAACTAAAAAAACTTGAACAGGTTGAAAAAAGGTTAAACAAATAAGATATAACAGTTATATATTTTTGTCAGATAAAATACTGGTTTTATATATTTTGTAGGTAAAGAAGAGATGTTACCTTTAATTGGCGATACAAAAATGGGTGTAAGAATGAGAAGAAGGATGAAGAATTTGATGTGATTTGGATTTGTGTCCATTTTGGTGTAGATGAAAATGGTATGTTGTATACATATTTTAAATGGTATATATATATAATGACCAAATAAATAAATGCCATTAATTATTTAAATAAATGCCGAATTAAAATCTTTTTTGAAACGTAATTTGTTATTTTTTTTACCACAAAACATAATTTTATATATTTATTAATCAAATATTTAATGCTAATTTGGAATTTATTTAGTTTGGATTTTTATTTTGAGGAATATATTTTTAATTAAAACTAGTTGTATACTCGTGCAATGCGGTGAGAGCCGTGAATTTTAACGATTTTGAAGTTTCGATGGTTTTATTATAGAAGATTTAACGATGATATAAGTTACACTTGATTTTTATATATTAATACAATTTGAATAAATAAAAGTTACGGTTCCAATTACAGTCTATCGATGAAAAAAATTGTATAACGATTTAAAATCCAACATATTTAAACGACTCTACAAATGTGTTTGGTTTACACCAAGAGCAAGAATCAAGAGATTGAGAGCGAGACTGAGAGTTTTAGAGCAATTGAATGAGAGATGAATGAGAGAATTTTTAATAACTCATGATGAATATCAGTTTGAATATCACATTGGGGGATGAGAGAAGACATAGAGGTATGAGAGGGTGAATGCATGAATGAAAGATGTCAAAAATATTTTAGGAACATGAAAAGAAAATATAATAATGTGCATTGGTAACCTTTTACTATGTGTTATTTTAATTGTAGATTAAAAGGTTTTAAGACTGAATGCATAAAATAGCACTTAATGTATTGTAAGTTATTTTTAAGACTTTGTGCATAAATGTATAGTACTTTGTGCATTAAAAATTGTTTTTAAGACTTTYGATAAATCTGGTTTATAAGGTAGTATAGATATATTTATTTTGATGCAACTAAGAAAATACATATAATTTTGAACTAATAATTGGTTGCTTTTGTAATGCTTATATCATGGTTATATAAGGACACATTTTTCTTGCCTATATAAGAAAGGTTTCGTCCTCATTTGTAATCATCTTTGAAAAGAAATAAAAACTTATTCCTTATATTTTTTATTGTTCTTAAGTTTAAGTTCATATTCTTCATACTTTCTCTTATTCTGGATATAACCTGGTGATAAAAAATAGAGCATAATATAATTTCTATTGTTTGTATAATAAACACACAATATAATAGAGCATAATATATTCTTTGTGCTTTCCCTTCTTACCCTTATCAGTATAACTTACACGTCTCACCTTAACTCTTATTCTCACACGATCATTCTTCAGATTTTACGCAAAATGATCAAAATACCCTCACATAGGAACTAGTAGTAGAAAAAAGTTAACGACCGTTAAACGACTTAATGTTTTGATACAATATCCGGTTAAAACATCCAAAAAGAAACACACGAGCAACCCCTCACCGAGTAACTTTCCTCTATATCGTTTCACCATGAAAGCTTTCCTCTCAAGTTCTCGAAACCAACAAATAACAGCATAAAACTAAAACCCGATCACGTCGACTGTCACCTGTTCGAAACGCAAACACGAGTTATGAGTTAGAAGAAGTACCCGTAAAATAAACAAACAAGGAAACGTAAAACACAACGATGACGAGATGCTAAAACAGACAACATAAACAAAATATATACCTTAAGCATCTTGGTTGCATAACATATATAGTTATGTAAGCTTCTCAGTGATGGACTTCAAATCTGACCCTTTGTTGATGCTGTATAATGCGAAAAGTATGTTAGTTTGTATACAAGAATGGTATATGAATGAATGTCACAACCACATCTGTGTACTATTAAATCGAATGACGCGTGATTTTTCCTGCCTTTCATGTCCATCATTGTGTTTTCCTGGGTAACTGTCGGTTTCCGGGCCAGCTTAAACACACTGAAAAAATCGCCTGGAGTCATCACAGGTGAACCTCCATGGCCATTTGAATGAGAGGTGAACCTCAAGACTTATCTAGTTTTGTATGAATCAAATCAGACTTTTTAGAAGATGAGAATCAGACATATAACTCTCAAAGTTGCAATGTTCTGGTGAAGTTTTGAGTCACCAGATTTACATTTTCTAGAGTTTTCGAGGAGTTCTTGAGCCGGCTGTTTCTAAACATTTATTCAAGAAAAGACATGAGAAAGAGACCTCAAAAGGTGTTGAAAGAGCCAAATTGGCAAAAAGATGAATAAAATGAACCCACTTTATCTCACAGCCACACTTAAATTTGCTGTTACCTGATCAAGTTTGAGGGCTTAATTTCAAACCACTCGAGAGAATTTCTAATTTAAAGCGAGATAAACAATATAACGGATTATGCCCACTTCCATAGAGAGAGGTTCAGGGGAAAACCCCCAAAAAAATGAAAAACTGAGGAACGTTTCTTGGTTTTTATGCACGTGTGCATGTTATGCACAAGTTCACACCGGACAAATTGCTTATAACTTGTATACACATGTGTATACAGACCAGATGAAACCAGGGTGTTCCTCCGTTTTTCATATTTTTGCGGTTTTCCCCTGAACATGACCCTATAAACTCCCCATACTTCAAGATTCCACAAAGCGACTTGCTTTGATATGGATTGAATACTAACAAATAAGAGCGATGTTGACACAAAAATCATCTTAACTGCAATGTGAAAACACCAAATATAGAGATTACTCACTTGTACAAGAAATCCCCACAAGGATCCACCTTCTTACTAATCCAATCTGGTACCTTGTTCACAAGAAGCTCTATCTGTTCTTCAATCTCTCCTGCTCAAAACATACAAAAACTCCATTATGATCCCGAAAATAAATACAGATAAGATTATAAAGGGTTTGTGCATACCGCTCTCTATGATGTCAAAGTTATTCACCAAGACTTTGTGAACAAGTTCACCTTTCGTAATTGAAGACCATTGTGCAGAACAAAATATGTTGTGAATCGTCTCAACAAGGTCAGATAAGCAACTAGATGTATCTTGATGCACTTTTAGTCCACTTTGAGCGATGGAATCATTCTTGGACGTCCTATCCTCCACCTGTCACCGAAAAGTAGGTTCGTAGAAGCTAAGCAGCACCATCGGTCCATTATCATAATACAACGATTAAGAAACTTGCATCATTGAGAATATTTTAGATGTCTAATAACACTAATCCTTATGAAAGTTGAATAATATACACAAACAAAGCTAAAATTTAGATTTTTTATACCATGGTCTTTGGTGGGTTTGGCTCAACTAATCCATGTAAACCATACCAATATCAAAACATCATAAAAGTAGACATTTCACATTTGAGCTCGAACTGGTTCATAAAAGCTAATATTGGTGTTGGAATTGTACCTTTTTAGCACATGTGGTTTTTTCATCCAGAAATTCACCTTCGTCGTCAGCAGTTGAGAAATCCAGGGATCTTTTTGCAAACAAATTGCTTGCCATCCCTTTCTGGCTAATCACACTCTTGATCTTGTTTTCAGTAGGAACGGATCTCTTTGGAGTTGATAGGTCAGGAGTCTCAGTAGTTACTTCGGCAAGTACCAATGGAGGTTTCATTGGTGTTTCTTCATTAGCAACTTGGAGAGCTTTGTCGTGCTTGACTGGATCCGAACATGAACTATAACCAATTTTTCTATCATTTGTGGTATCGGATGTAATAGAGGAAGGCGAAACTGAAGTTGGTGAGAGCTCCGTCTTTATGGATTCTTCGTCTTTTCTTGAGAAGTGTCTACTGAAAGATGGTTGCAGGTGGGAAGGGTTAAGTAGCTCAGCTTCGTCGATATTTGGTAGTGTTTCCACTGATGAATCCACGGGCAAAGAGTTTGCAGAAATTGTGATATCTCTTTGGTTAAATGGCTCGGGAAGTTCAGCCTCAGGTACATCACAGCCCTATTTCAATTAATCGAAAAACATGAAATGTTCATATTATATATACACACAGACACACATATGTATCCATTTCATATTTAAATCTAAATATATTACCAAAAGAACATTATGAGCATTGCATTCAAGTTACGGGTTGTTTGGTTGGTTTTCCATCAAGTCCTATATGAATAAAGTTGTCTGTGTGGTTAATCTGTCTATATTGATCGGAAATGTTTTTGTTTGGGGGTGTTCTCTCATATATGTAACGAGCATGTTTTTTAGTTGGAAGGGGCAAGTTTGAAAAAAAAAAACTAGGCCTTCTACATTAAGCTCCGCCTAGAATCTTACTGAATAAGCCACTTTATATATCATTAAGCTAATATCAAAGTCATATATAGCTGACCGAATAAGTTGTGGGACCCATTAACCTCATTAAGCTGCTAACAAACAGGCCCTCAGTCATATGTAAGAAATTATGTATCAAGGACCAACAAAACTATTGGAATACATATGGATAAAAAACATCCATAATCAGCAGATCACAACTAACAAATCCGGCATCCTAATAGATAACATGAACCTTAGATGAAAGAAAGACGAGAAAATGCTCTAACATAATGTATATCATCCAAAAATATGTTTTTTTGATTAAGGCAGGATACCTCAATTTGGTCAACAATCATCTCCTATTCATCAAGTGCCGAATGCCTGATGGAACATATACATTCCCACCACATCCATCATGTGAAATGACTAGTGAACATAGTATACAGCAACGATTCTTCTTGAAGTATATTATGCGTTTGTGTAAATATCCACTGATAACAGCTTTATGGATCTCATGTAAACTCGAATATGCAATATTTCAGTTAGCATGGTGATCGTATATTGTTCAATAACAGTACTAACAAAACCTCTGATTGACAGTTTAATTAGGTCTAAGATTATTTAAAAATGTCAATCTTAGAAGCAGATAATATAAGAAGGGTTGAGAATATTACCTCTGGGTGTGTATTGACAAACTTGATGAGCCTATGGAAAAACGTATGACACAGAGCTATATAAGGAGAGTGTTCAATGTGGCCTTCTATGACATCAAAAAGCAATGTAACTTTTAATTCTGGCTCCATGCTCAAAGTCTTCTTATTGTGTAAAAGTATCTTATCAGCCTGAACGGCCTCTGGGAAAATGAACTTTATCTGTGCAAGATGCCTATACGAGAATTTCCTGAAAAGAAGAAAGAAATATATAATGGTTTGATTCTAACAAAAGGGAAACGGTTATGGTTGAGAAGATAAACATGATAACCACTTTTACACATAATTGCTCCTATTAGATGTCATCGATAAAGAAACTTCAAATAATAATAATATAAAGATAATATGTTATGTGTATGCTATCCTTTTGTAAGAAACCATTTTATGATAACTTAATACATGAAAGACATAAAATAGACTTAAAGAACCGTGCCCAAAAGTAATGCCTTTTGATTTTTGGAATGTGAACAAAATCTAAGATCAAAGATCAACACAAGTGAACATGCTAGGTGCAAATAGATAATAGAAACTGAAAAACAGACTCCAACTTTAAATTACCTTTTTGTGAGTGTTTCAACTTGACGGCATATATTCTGAAAAGTAGGCAACTGTTTATGCAGATTGAGCAGCCTCAGTGAAGTGGTCATACGATCAAAAAACTCCGAGAGGGTTCCGTATCTGGTATAGAATAAAAAAATTTGCAGTTAAAGATTTTATTTCACTTGGTTAAATTATTCAAAGCAAAAGTTACCAACTAAAGGACTCACTTCTCTGGGAGTTTAGCAGGTTCCTTTTTGCACCTAATGTTCAAAGTCTCCTCAGTTTTCTCTGGTGTCGGAGTCACAAAGTTAGCATCAAGATGCTGGCTTGCATGTATATGCAGCTTTTTTACTGGAGTGGAAGCCTCTGAGCATGATTTATCAGCCACGGGTAAAATGCTTTGACACGAGGATCCCATGGCAGCCTGTTCACCCTCGAGCTGTTTTTGACCCATGGCTTGCCTAAAAGCAATATAAATAGACACAAATAGGAATCTTGAAGATAAGCTGAACTACTTAAAATGGCAAAAGAAACAAAAGCAATTCCATTTTCAAAATTTGATATGAATGTTTCTAATATTTGAGCACCAAAATTCTGCTTTTGTAGCAATTAACATTTATTTATCAATCCTCCTTAACAAACTTATTTCAAGTTTTGGACTTCAAATTTAGTCTTTTCACGAAATACTCAGAACCAAATAAACAAATTATTTTCAGAATGAAGTACGAGCATAAAGCAACTCAAAATATAAAACAAGCCCCCTTCCAACATCTTATTGTAAGAACATTGCTAACTACAATAACCTTTTGCAGAAATTCTAGAATTGCATAATAGCGGTGTACTTTTTTGAAACGAATTCGTATTAACTTGCATCTGAATAGGTTTGACACCTATCTACAGATTTACTTTTTGGAACAAAAGAATTTGTTACCATGACGACAAAATAAGAAAGTTGGCGTACTAAACCTAAAATCCAATCAACAGTAGGACTTCAAATGCTTAGATGAATGAATCAGTCAAACCCAGAAAATTCTGAGAAAAAACCCAGATGAATATATATAGGGAGAGAGAGAGAGAGGGACCACTTCAAATACAAACCGTACAAAGTACAAACCAATCTCAACCGTCTGTGCAAATTATCAAATCAATAGCAACTATGTGAATTCAATCGATTCCGAAATTCACTCAACCTTATTTGCAACTAATTTGGTACCCGCCTAGAAATTTCAAAATGCATAAAATCAAAAGGCCGAGATTGGTTTGTGAGGTGTGCAACATTTACATGGTTTGTATTTGATTTGTCCTCTATGTATATATGCTGACAAGTATTTAGCATCAAAACAATTGGTTCATACGATATAAGTAACTGTGTTATACTGAATTGGTTTGCAAACTTTGTGATCAGGGACAGGCCCACAAATTTAAGTGAATGTTTTGTTAACAGATTCTCAAACTGCATCACAAATTCAGAAATCACAAACATAACAAACCTCCATATGATGAAACAAGAAACAAACAACACCCCACTAAAGCAGTGAACCAAAACCCCTTGCATATTGAACCCATTCCACATGAATCAGTAAATGACATTAAATCAGAATCAAGCAATCCACATAAATCAGTAAAGCAGTAAACCAGAATCAAGCAATCCACATAAATCAGTATATATGAGATGCTTACCTGAATCGCAAAAGAAAAAAAGCCGATTGAAGTTGTGGGTTTGAGATGTGTGCCCTAACTCGGCGGTGGGCACAGAAGCACTGCAGCAGGGGCGGTCGGCGATTGGATTTAAGGGCGTCGCCGTTGAGTGGGAGACTGGAATTGAGTGAAGAGAAGCGAGCGGGACTTTAACACGAACAACTTGGCGGGATGAAATCAAAGATTTCATTTCCATTCGACTTTAAACGGAAACAACCATGGCGACCCTTCGTCAATCCTTGTTACTATTTTATCTTATTTCCTATTTTGGGTAATGTATTATAAAAACTTTTATTTTAGTATCTAATATTTAAAATTTTAAACATTTAAGTATTTGGATAATTAGTTAAAGACTAATTTTTAATTAAAAAAAAAGACTAATTTTAGATTTAAAAAAAAATCATGTTACTAACCACATCAGCAAATAATATTGAATTGGATATCACATTACTCATCACATCAATATAATAATCGGTTATATAAGAATTACAATAAAAAATAATTATAAATCATAAAAAAAGAAATAACAATAAATTGTAAACTATAAAAATAAAAAATAATAAATTACAAGTCATGAGAACCAATGCCACACAACTTTAAACCATTGGGGTAAAAATCACGTTTTAACAAATCACAGGACGAAAACATAACTTACTCTTAAGAGCAGTTTATCAAACCCTTAATCGGTAAGTACTTACCAGTAAAATTAACACCATCATTTACTTATTGAATAAGATTTTACTCCAACAAAATGGCATTGTATGTATCAATTTACCTAGTAAGCGTTTACGAAGGTAAGAGTCGTCGCCATCACTTACCAGATAAGACTATTGGTCCTTGTCTCGTTATTACCTTGTAAAATTCTTGGTCTTCATCGTATTCGTCTGGTAAAGTAATGTGATTTGTTAAGCGCTTCATATTTAGAATGGAGAGAAAAATAGCATATTTGTTGGGCTGTTGCAGATGTTTTAGATATTTAAATTTTTTCTTGCTTATCTATATTATATTACAAAACATTTGATAAAAACTCTTAAAAATCATTTTTCATGTATGAAGTATTATATATTGATACATATTACTTAAAATTCAATATTACAAGTAAATTATGCGTAAATACAACTTACTAAAACTCTATTTGTGAAATTTATGTAACTAACTGCATATAAACATAATCATATACAGGATAAACATTTAATTTAAATATAAAAAATTTAAAATATAAGTAAGATAATCATTGAGTTCTAACATAATACTTAAATTTATTATTTTTATAAAAAATTATATTATTAAACCAAACATAAGTTGCTTCATTATTAAATCTAAATTAAATTACAAAATTACAATAAGAAATTGAATCAAATAAATTACACAAATAAATGATTAAATTTAAATATTTAATTTGAAACTAATATTGATATATTTTTTCTAATTTTTTAATATGATATCTTTAAATTTATATTTTAATCACTTTCTCAAAACCACATAAAACCATATTATATCGACATAAAAAAAGAACAAAACAAAACATTAAAATCAAAATGTATCCCGCTGCATTGTGTGAGTATACTTCTAATATTATCTAACAAACAAGCTTTTAATTTACGTTGTTGTGACATTTTTTCATCTAATCAAGAATTATAACATAATTTGACAAGTTAACATTTATGTAATCAGTAATTTTAAAATCTACTCATTACATGTCAACATACGCATTTTGCATAAAAAAGAAACGTACTTTAATTTGATTTTTACGTATTTTCAAAACTTTCATTTTGGTACATAAAATGTAAAGTTTTAAACATTTAAGTACCCGGTTAGATGGTTGATGTGGTGAATGATGTAATATCCAACCCAATATTATTTGTTGACGTGGTTAGTGACATGGATTTTTTATTATCTAAAATTAGTCTTTTTTTTAATTTAAAATTAGTTTTCAACCGATTACTACGGTACTTAAATGTTTAAAACTTTACATCCTAGATTCTTAGGTACCAAAATAGAAGTTTTGAAAGTACATTACTCAAAATAGGAATCAAATTAAAGTATGTTACCTCTTTCATGCAATTTGCCAAAATTAAATTAAACGTTAATGACACCGACTAAGAAAAGAAACGTGTTTGCTACACATATAAAACTGAAACAAGTCGTATTGTATTTTAACGTTTTCAAAACAAAATTGGTTTTAGTTAAAAATTCGAATATTTTATTTTCCAAAATTAGAAGTTTAATAAAATAAAGATTTGGAATAATCAGGTTTCTTGAGTAAAAATGAGTTAAAATTGGTTCATTTTTAATACAATATATCATTTACGTAATCATTTTTTAACGGAAAAATGTTTTTTTTAATAATAAATGAATTTAATCCATATTTATTCCCTTAAATATCTTATATATTCGATCAATAATCTAACAGTTTTATTAAACTCGAACTGAACCCTAAACCTTTACATCTTTTTAGGGTTGTAGGAATGAGTAAAAGGGTTAAAAGGCTGAAACCAAATTGGACCGGACAATTTAGGGGTGGCAAAAAATGACTTAACCCGTTAACTTAATACGAACCCAATCTAAAATTAGCAGGTTGAGTTGAGATTTTTAACCCATTTAAATAAATGGGTCAACCCGCCTAACCCAATTAAATAAATGGGTTGGATTGGGTTGAATTTTTCGACATGTTTTCAACCAATTTAAAATATTATATAATTTTATTTTATTCTTAATATTATATCTAGCATTCTAATTTTTAGTTTTTTTTTATTCTTAATTAAAAATTCAACCGTCGTGAGATGAAACTCCAAACGCCTCCATTACTCTTAATCATTATGAAACCCTAAGAAAACCCTCTAGTCTATTTGTTGTGGATGTGTTATATTCAAACTTTGAACAATTTGTTTGTATTTGTGGTTGTGTTTTATTCCAAAAAAAAAAAAGTCTAGTCCTCTTTTTATTTAAAATTTTAAAATTAAATGGGTCAACTCAGGTTCATCTCATTTATTTAACAGGTTTGGTTAAGAAAATTGTAAACATGTCAACCCGTTGTCAATCCATTTAGATAACAAGTTGGGTTGGGTTGAAAAATCTCGACCCATTTAATTAAATGAGTTGGGTTGGGTTGAGATTTTCAACCTATTTAATAAATGGGTTGAACCCGAATCCAACCTGACCCATTGCCACCCCTACCCAACATAGCCATTCATAGACTGGTTAAGGTTGTTCGTCGTGTACATGTTTTGTTGAATATCTTGTTAAGATCGGGATTATAGCTGATCAAAGCTTAGTTGAAACCAGTGTCGTAAATGAGTTGGCTCAAATTTTGTCTAATTTGAGTACAAATATGAGATGGAAACATCTTTTCGAACTGCGTTTGAGTGCATTAAAATATGTGTGTGCGTTTATGCTCAAGTTTTTATGTATATTTTTCCATCGTATAGTTTATCAACATAGCTCCAATGGAGTTTGAAATCAGTGTATTGAACAGAGTTCTCACGAGAACATGTAAAACTTCATTAGATTACTCTGCAAAAAATTCTTTAAGGAGAGAATGAGAGTTCTAATAATGGTTCTAATGGTTAAAATGATATTTTAATGTGCCAAAGTATCAACCTGACCAATCCATAAGGTTTGGGTTGGGTTAAGATTTTTCAAACCGGAAGCATTGGGTTGAGTTGTTTAAATGGCTTCAACCCGATCAACCCAACTCATGAGCAACCCTAATACGAAACATATCAATTGGCTTGAACTTGGACTACAAAGATCAAAAGTGCGTGGAGGTCCCAAGTTCAAATCCAATGAGGAATAAAAATCCTCTTATGGCTACGGAGGTTCAAATGCGGTGACTACAGACTATCCGCAAAGCAGGTAATCGCCTTAGGATTAGTCGGCTCACATAACGGGTTTGATATCCCGGCTAATAAAAATAAAACAAAGCGTACCAATTAATTAGCACCAACTTAATTGCTACCAGCATTTTCGGTTGGTACAACTATACCAAGAATGCGTAGTACACGGTACAAAAAATCAAATATCATTGTACTAATAACCAACTAAAAACCGACTGACAAACATGTTCAATTTTTATACTAATCTAATAGTAACGAAGTCGGACTCTGTTTGCATTTGTCAAATCGAGCACTTGCGCTATCGTGGGTTTAGACAAGAAAAATATGCCCAAAAGAATTCCGAAATGAACCCATGCTAGTACCATGAGAAAAATCGAAATGAACCTGTGATCAAAATGGTCAAATCGAAATGAACCCGTGACACCGTGAAAAAACTGGTTAGACCAAGAGACTCGACCAAGCAGGGGTGAAAAAACAAGAAGTGCGTATGCTGTCCTCTGAAGCACCTCAGCTCACACCACCAGTCCCATGGCTACCACGGACCATACCAGACCAGACCAGACCAATCAAACCCAATATATTACGCTACACACACATTCTAAAAAGTAGAGCGGTTGTGGGCTATCATTGATGAAAAGCCATGAATCAGTAAAACTCCAATGAGATTAGGATGTTTCGAAAACTTGGTCTGAACCCTACTTGTGTAATATCATCTCCATGCTGTGAAAGGACTACACACACACGCACGCGCACGCGCGCACGCACACACATATATATATACATACACACATACACATACACATACACACACACATATATATATATATAGAGAGAGAGAGAGAGAGAGAGAGAGACCTCAATTATATGAAAATTTTGGAAGGTAAGATTGACAACTAGCAGTTGATTTAGTCTTCAGATACACTAAAAACAGCTTCTAACAATCATGAATCTTGATTTCAAGCTCCAACTTTAGCAACCTTTCTCTGCTCAATTTGACCAGTCAACGGACACTGCATCTCCGTCCAGCTAATTGGAACCATCGTGCCGCCTATATAAAAACCACGCCAACAAATGCAGTTACGAACAACATTGTTTATCTAAAGACTGAAACCCGTCAAGCAGCACGTTCTTAAACGGTAGCTACACTTTGACTTTTATGGTCAAAGAAACAACTTCCCTATTCCCTAATTCAAAACAGTTTAATAAAACTGAACACCAAACTAGTTATCTGCAACATCCTTCTTTTTGAGAAACAGACCCATGAAAATTGCAACGATTTCTCGTTTAGGATGTTAAGAAAAAATTGCCAAGTTTTCTTCGTTTGGCACACTTCCAAGTATGCGTAACCTATATACCCATCGTTGTAATTAGAATCTATCTTTGCTATCGAATTTGACCTATATAAGATATCTAATTATTACTCTATCCGTCCCAAAATAAATGTCTACAATGAAAAAGGCACACAGTTCCGGAAATATGTAATTATTACACTTTTTGATTAACTAAATGACAATTTTAACCTTGAATAATAGAGGAAGTAATGAATTTTTCCAACTCATCATTAATTATTACACTCCCGTCCCACACTCTGCATTTCAGGACGTCCCATGAAAGCGACAACATTTCTCACACTTCGATCATTTACAGGCGTCACGACATCTAAACTATTTTGCGATTTTCATTGTGTTTTTCAAAAGTTCATTTATAGAACGCTACTTCTACAGTCGAGCCAGGCAAAACAACACCAAAGGCGCGACCTTCATATGATCACAAAATGTCGATGAAGAATCAACCGTAGCCATATGATGGTTTAGCTGGGAGAAAACCTAATTATAAATCCCAATAACCATGAAAACCAACATCATGAATTTGAAATTCAGACAGAACAAGAATCTTACCTGCCATGCTTTCTGCCGATACAACGCCCAGTTCATTTTGTGCAGTTGAAAGATAATATGCACGCGCATCTCCTAGAGAAAGCTTATCGATGACGGTTTTGTTAAGGAAGACACTAACAGCATTGCAACATATGCGTGGCCTTCGATGTGAGTGACTTTATAAGAAAATCAAGAACATGAAACCGAACGAAATGAACCTAGTATATCCCACTCGAAAGTAGGGTCTGGGAGGGGTACGATGTATGCAGACCTTACCTCAACCGCTAGGATCAAGAGGTTGTTTCCATGAAGACCCTAGGCTTGTGCACGATGTAAGGCGTGTGCAAGCAGGCAATAAGATAGGTAATATATCACGTAAGCAGGAAATATAGGGAGATGTTTGTTTGGAATCTGAATTGGAATGGTCAATTACGTTGACCAAATTCCATTCCGACGATTGGTTTACCGATGGAATGGATTTGAATTCCATTCATTCTACCAACCATGGATTTCATCATTCCATAATAGTAGGGAAGGAATTGAATTCCATTTCAACCAATTTTCTTTAAATGACAGAACTACCCCATTGAACCAATTTTCTTAACTTATTCATATTTAACTTAAGAAAAAAATTAAAAAAAAAATTCTAAGAAAGGGTATTTTGGTCATTTTTCAATCCAGTTCCTCAGTAACCAAACAAGCAGATTCCAATTCATTTGATAGATTACATTCCATTTCCTGCCAACCGTTCTTAGTCAGACCTAATAACATTCCATTCAATTCCTTCCAGATTGCAATTACTTTGACAGATTTTGTTCCTTCAAAAAATATTCTGCGAACCAAACACCCCCTAAGATGTACAATAATGATTCAGTCGTGTGTGCACGATTCAATGGTGTGCAAGCAGACAATGGAACAAGGTCAAACATGGTCTTATTCCTGAAAACATATCGGAAATATATAAATACGTGGTTGCAGAGAATCTTGAAATGAAGGATACTACCGAAGCTTTGACAATGTCACCAGGGCGGAAGGATGTATGCATATCTACTTTGTCAATCTCGGTTGCTCTGACATCTTGTTGCCTGTTAATATCAGCAAAATACAAAATTTGGAATCTAGAGATCGGTAGTGGGAAAAATGCATGCATATCTGATTTATAAGTGGGAATATTATTTACAGCTTTGGCTTAACATTGAGCAAGGCCTTTCACCATTCCATATAAAGCAGAAAACATTAAATACATTAGATCTTCAGCTGTTGTTGCATGCTAGCAATGCAACACTTGACATGATAAAAGAAAATTAATGTTCAAAATAGCACGTTAATCCAACCATAGGCAAATGAGAACCGTGGAACCAACTATTCATGAATTATTCATGGTAATATTGTAATTGATATTCACAGTGAATCACTTTTTACGTTTTAACATAATCCTTAAGTTTTTCATAAAAATCTAATGAACTCCTATCAAACTTGAACTTCAATGTAGTCCTTCTGTTAATTTGTTTTTTATTTAGATAAAGGGGATGGAAACCCTTGGAAAAATTTATTCTCTCTTAATTTGTTGAAGTCTAAAGATTGAAACATTCTACTAATTTTGTATACCTATCTAGATTATTGTATTGCTTAATTTGTTGATTTCTGAGTTGCGCTATTGGTTTGGCATATTGAGTTCAAATTCGGGTGTACCCATATTTGATTCAATTAACATGTTCACGACTCGTTTAGAATTTTTCAACTTGTGAATATTTGAACCGGTAAATTACTCCAAAAAAAAGTTGAATGTAATGCTTACACCCTTCTTAACAAACAAAAATCTTAAAAAGATGATTACCTGATGATGCCAGAGAACTTTTCTCGCACAGCTTTCGAACCAACACACATAATATCAGCAGAAGCCATCCTAGCCATCACCTTAGTTACCTATTGCAAATGATAAAAGGACATCAACTTTAACATAAACCTAGTTCATATGACAATGAAAGAAGTACTCCCGCATTGGCTTAACCAAAATAACCGGTAATGCTTATCGAAAGATTCAGCTACTTTGAGGCAAGTAACCACTTGCTAATGAACCAAAAAAAATTCAGGGGATAGTACAAGGCCATAATATATATATATATACACACACACACACACACACACATACATATAATACGTAGCAGTTAACCAATATGAATTCTGAGATTATGGCAAAAGCTATATAAATCAGAAATATAAATCCTATGACATAATGAAGTGAATCAAGTAGCTTGACAGTCAAATGATTGGATATATTCAGCTTGTAAGAAGAAAATAAATCATATAAACCAGAATTGGAAATAATATTGTGGGTAAAGCAGAAACCAACTCCTAGAATAATGGTATGCACAATTATAACCTGAAGAAGAAAATCAAATCAAATCAAGTATATAACGAACTCTGTTTCCATCAGATCCAAGAACAATGTTATGCCTTTTTGACGGAGACGTTGATTCGGGTATTATTTTGGGCACAAAATGTTTTTCCAGTGACTGAATCTGGTTCCGGAGATTAATGGTAAAAGCATTGCTTGCCAAATGGTCCATAGGCAGGCAACGTGCTTTACTCTTAATAAAGTATTACTCTTATAGGCTTTATGTTGATTCATAATCAGAAAAGGTCCAAGAAACCAACCCCAGTAAAAGGAACATTAGAGAAGATCTAAGTAAGGAATCTTACTCGAGCAATGACAACACAACCTGGCTCAGGAACAGGACCGTGGGCTTTGTGTCCAATCACTTCCACAGTTGGCCTCTGACATTTAATTAGGAAAAGAATAGGTAGATAGATAAATAGATAAGAAGAAAGAGAAGAGATGCATATTCACGATGATAAGAAGAAACACAAAGCAGCATTATAATGGGAAACAAGGGTGAGTGGTAGAACAACCCCAGATTCAATGTTTAGCAGCCAAGAAGTAAAAAAGAAACGATCAATATGTTCAACGTATGAAGAGAGATTAAATTAACTATAACTAAACGTATAGTTGAAAATTATATTCACGCATTTCATTTAGCTCCCTGTCGATGACAAGGAAGAAAAACTTGCCAGAATGAGTAACAAGATGCGAATTAACATCTTGGTCAACAAGATCTTAATTCCTCTAGATTCCAAAGGTTAGGTTGAAAAGTTCTATATGCTTCAAGCAATGTTCTAATCAATCTAGTAATGACTCGATGAAATTAAGAAAAACAAAACCAGGCTACATAATAACAATTCATATTATCCCCCTACTTTCTCTGCTCTTCTCCCTGACCAAATAGGTGTTCCTCATGTTACAAGTTTATAACTTTATTTAGTATTTGTCAACTTCTGAGAAAAAAATCAACAAATGCACAACTGAATCTGGTGTAATATAGGACGAGTCGATGCTGATTCACAACAAGGTCCTTGGTACTTTTACTACATCTTGTATTTAATTACTTTACAAGCCATGCCACTCGTTGTAGCATAGTCTTGCATGTATTGTGATTTATAAAAACTCCAACCTCAATACAAACTCTCACAAAAAGGGGGCTAAGAAACGCTTTGATCAACAACGCAATATGCTGGAGATAGTATGTAGATGCGGATTGATAGTTTTGTGCATATAGCGTATACTAAAATTTGGGAATATAAAATAATGTCTCCCTTCAATAAATTATTATAATTAGTGCAAACTCAATTACCAGTAAACGTTACTATCTTCATTCTAAAAATAGATATATTGCAACTTCCCCAATCAACCGGATTTGAAATTGACATGACTTGTCTTTTTCATCTTAAAAACCAAACTTCTGTAATGTGCAGTAAATCTTTATACAAGTTAACAGAGCCCCTTATATACTCTAAATATGTATCAAGTCTAATCCCATTACAATAACGTTGACCATCAAAGATATAATCATGTGATGTAAGTCCAATTAACAATAGTAAGCAGTTACTAATTATAGGATGTGGAGTGAGATAGCTCAATATTCGGAGAAGGGCACAAACCATCTAAAAGGCAAACTGTAAACGGGTTTGTGTTTTCTTTACGTCCCCTTTTCTTGAACTAGAATTTCGGAAAGTTTTAGGCTTATTTGAATCATACAAGGTTTTTGTTGTAGGGGTTTTAGAAAGTAGAGGGATGTTCGTGGGAAAACTCCAAAAAAAATGAAAAACTGATGAACACCCTGAAAGTAGAGGGATGTTCGTGGGTTTTAGAAAGTAGAAGGATGTTCGTGGATTGTATTCATTTGTGCATTCAAGTAATTGAAGCCATTTCTTGGTCATACAGGATAAATTACTCTCTATGCACTTGTGCATACTGTCCGGATAATGTTTACCAGTTGTTCCTCAGTTTACCATTTTTTGCGGTTTTCCTCATAATCTGACCGTTAGAAAGTATATTATATCTAGGGGATCCCAAAACTTTTCTTTTCATGATTTTTTCATCAATAAGATACTTTTCCCTGTAAAAATGAGATATCTAAGCAGAAAATACATGTAATTCTTGGCAGAGTTATCAAGTCTATACCCCCTTCATTACCAGAAACGAGATTGTGCCCTTGCCTTTCAAGGTCAAACTTATTACTACATTACATGTTCAAACTAGAAATGCATATCGTCGTTCAAATTTAATACGGCCATGAATTCGTCATAAATTTCACTAATTTTTTTCAAAATTTACAGAAATATAGACCAATCGGATTATTTTTGAAGTTTAAAACTGGTGAGTTCGAGGTCAGTGCAGTGGTATTCTAATTTGATATGCACATTTGAATATGTATGTGTATATGCACCTGGTCTGGAGATTCAGGCGACGAAGGAACGATGCAACGGCGGCCGGTGAGGGAGGCGTAGACGGTGTTATTGTAGGGTGCGATATATGCTCCCCTCCCTGCTTTCACTTCGGATCCTTTGCCCAATACTTCCCCTGGTGTCACCATCTCCTCCTCTGCTATTTTTTCTTGCATTCTATCTTTCTTTCTCTACAGTGACGAGTGACCGATTGAGGTTGAGAGTTGGGAACTGGGAAGAGGGTTTCTAGGACTTCAATGGCGGCCGGCGACAACACAACGACGAACGGCAAGAGTTTATACGGCGTTCCTCTCTCTTTTGGGTAAACCTATTTTAAATATCAATAATAATAATAATAATAATATAAAAAATTAATTTTGTTATATTGTGATAATTCACATTTGACAATTAAAATAATGTCACAAATAAGCATAAATTGGAGGGAAAATTTCAAAAGAATTCGATAAATTTCTCATTTTGATTGGTTAAATTTTTAAATCTTTTTTAAATAAATTAATCATTGAACTTTTAAAAAATGTTATTTATCTATACTACGTTAACAAGTATTTAGACCAAAAGTCTTAAAACATAAAATACTATCAATTTATGCAAGAGATTCAAAAATCTCTTAAGTACAAATTATTATGCATAACGTACAAATACTTAAAACATACCATTTGTTGGTTAAAGTTTCAGATTTAAGTAAACCATATTTACATTAAAAAGATGTTTGGTATTTCAAAAGTTGTTTGACACTTTGTTTGTTTCCTATTTTGAATTCAAAAATTTTCTTTCTTTTGAAGTAAACTGAAATTTGAAGCAACAATATCATAAAGAGATTCAGATCCTGCATGTACCTCACCCAAACCCTTCAACTTTATATGGGTTTAGAAACTCAACATGTGTGCAATTATTTTTCCAATCGATCATATTAACCTTCAACTTTATATATTAGTTGACTTGTAAAATAATCACACAAACTCATGATTCAAGACTAAACTAATGTTTCAAAATTGTGATTCACTCGTGTTGCATTGCATGGGTACACCACTAGTGTGTGTGTATATATTCTTATTAACGTGAATATCTTACTTGTTATGCGAGCCAACTAATCCCATGACGACCACCTACTTTACGGGTAGCCTGAAATCACCTAATTTGAACATCTGTGGCCATAAGGGGATTTTTGTTCCTTCTTAGAGTTGAACCTGAGACCTCCAGACATTGTTGACCTTTGGAGCTCAAGCTCAAACCAATCAAACACCACCCTTATAGTTAAAATAAAAAAGAAACCTAAATCACTTTTACCTTTCCTAAATCTTACGTCATTGAAACTCCTTTATCGTATCAACGTAAGAAAATAAACAAATCACAAAGAGGGAGATCGCTGGAGGGGCCAACGGTAGCGATAGACGTTAACTATAACATTCGTATTTATTTCGTCAATCTTTTATTAAAAACTTCTATTAAAATACAATAACATTCGTATTTATTTTGTCAATCTTATGGTATTGTATTCATTTGTTAGTATTTTGATTTTATTTAAAACTTCTAAAAGAATTGTAATAGAAAAATACTGAATATATGCAACACTTATTAAGCTCATATCATCAAAACAATGATTTGATGTTAGGTTAAAAAAGATGCAATTAAGCACTAACCGGTAAGAGTCTAACACTCTCACGTACCTTACCCGATAAGATTTTAGTCCGTCAAAACGACAACATATGCGACAATTTTTCTGATAAATACAAATAGGGTAACAGGCGTCAAGATCACTTACAGGGTAAGACTCTTCGTTCATACCATCGTAAGATTCTCAGTTCTTGCTATGTTCATCCCGTAAGGTAAGTGACTTAATAAGCTTACCGGATAAGCGTTTGGTAAACGACCCCCAAGACATGTAACATTCCTTGTTCATAGTATAAAATCACACGCAATTAGAACTGATAAGAACGTTTTGTTGACTATTACAGTTTGAAAAACGTTAGAACCACTTAGAAGCATTCCGATTTACGGTAACAACAATATTAACCACGATATAATAAATCTCATATCATGCTCATGTACCGAGCCGAGCCAGCCACCTAACAGACTGTTGTGTACCTGATTTAACCGGTTACAAGGGACCACTCTCGTCAAGGACCGGTTGTCAGGGTGTGAAACAAACAAATTAGATAAAAATACTTGAAGCAATAGATAAAACACTTTATTCTCTTCATTAATCGAAACATTAACACAAAACATAACTCCAAAATCCAACACGCAAAGATTACAACTCGTGAGTACCAGCGATACGATTCCAACTATAACACGGAAATCCTGCGAACCCATTCTGCGACCCATTCGACAAAAGATGGGTACGAGATTTCTTTATATTCTATGAATAAATGCATATAGTTTTTCCTATGATGAATACAAAAATGTAGACGGTAAAACCCTGTCATCGAACCTCTGGAAAACTTGTATGCTATAGATGAACACAAAAAACCTAGAATCTACATACATATCGACAACTTATCAACCACTTGCCGAGTCATCTTCACTGTCGTCACTATCATCACTGCACCCGTTAAATCCGAACAAAATGGTTAGGAAATAGCATGAAGACGATGAATTAAACAAAGAAATATGAGTACTAAAATAGTGGCAACTCGTGTTTTGACTGTTAAGGAGTGATGGTCATCACATAGAATCAAACATTCGGAATATAAGCAGCAGCAAAATATGTGACGGTGTGCATCAAGAACAGATGTGAGAAATACATTAAATGAACCAAAGTGCCTTTGGCCTAAAAGTATCCGGTAACCCAACCTTCTTCCGAGAGGTCAGGGGTTCCGACCACACCAAAAGTGGGGAGTTATATGAGTTTAATTTACCATATATACTTCAAAAGAAAAAACAAGAAAACAGAACACGAAGAGCAATATTGACAACTACTGGTAAGAACAGAAAAGCTAACATGAGCTGCAACGATATTTCAAGCCTCAAGCCTTAGAAACCACGACAAAGCCATTGGGTGAGAGATAATGTACCCATTAGGCCATTACCCCATATTTTTCATGGGTACCAAAGGGATGGGCAAGAAAGTGTATTGGTCTATATATTGATAAATACAAAAAGAGACGCATGCAGAACAGGTTTTGCAGACAAGAAACAAATATACATACATATATATATTATATATATATATATACACATATATATATATATATATGTAGGCGAGGGATCATGAAAAGTAAGAAGAGATCTGAATGCTTGATCACTTTTAAACTCATGCACACCCATTAATTGCGCTTTAGAAGGGAATTGACTCGGTGCATCTAATTAGTGTTGACATTCAATTAAGATTGATCCAAGGGTGGATATCTCTTCTTATGCTTCTCACTATAACTTCCCAACCCAACCCTATATATATGTGCGTGTATATATGGAGTCAGGTTCAGGGGAAAACCACAAAAATTGGAAAACCGAGGAACACGCTTGTAACTGTTCATTTGTATGGGTATAGATGAAGGAGACCATGGTGTTCATCAGTTTTTCATTTTTTGGGGGGTTTTCTCCTGAACCCCTCTCTCTCTCTCTCTCTCTCTATATATATATATATATATATATGCACATATACCCACACACACACGAAGGAAGGAATCATTAGTTAGATTCAAACAGATGTGTGCAAAATTGAGGCTTCGACTTCTAAATATACACATTACCTGTATTCAGAAAGCTTTGCTATCCGTCTTGCATCTAAGCCTGTAAGATACTTTTGTGCTGCTTGAACGTTTTCTATCCCTGAAAAGCGTAACCAAATGCATCAAAAGAAGATCACTAGGGGACAGCAAGCTACACAACATGTATCTAAATACTCTACCATGTCTACATGTGGTTGGAGACTAGAAAAAGATTATACTATTATACCTTTCGTTAACTGAAGCGCATGCAGAGAACATCTCTCGGCTGCAAGTCTCACGGGCATGCTTCCATCTTTTAAACATTCAGCAAGCACAGGACCATATACTGTAACATGGATCATTACTAAGGTAGGATTTGCCTGCAATAAGACCTTGATGTTAACCTCAATTTTTTAAAATAAATATTCTTTACAAAAAATCGAAGAAATACCCAAAAGAGAACGAAAAAAAGGAAAAGAAATACTTTGGCAACTGCTTTAAGTGCAAATAACGCCCTCCTCCTGACTTCACTGGAATCATCCTGCATGGCAGATGCTATGGACGCAACCGTGCCTTTGTGTGCATTTGTGTTGGAAGGATCCTTTTGAATTTGATGAAGTAGAAGCCTTCCTAATGCTTTGGTTGATGTTTCACGAACGGGAAACTACACAAGAAGAATGTCAGAAAAGTATAGTAATTTTATACACCCATGTCTCTATTTTAGTCTATCCCAAAGTAAGTGACCATTTTCAAAAGTAATTATGTAATTTCCAATTTGACCCTTAATTATAAGATGAAGAAAGCCATTATTTCCTCGACTATTAAGGGTAAACTAACATTTAGTTAATTAGAAAGTGTAATCATTACGTATTCTTATAACAATGCGCCTTTTTCATTATGGGCATTTACTTTGGGACGGAGGGAGTAAATATCACAATGATGATTGAAACTTGACAAAACCTTTTCATCCTTCAAGCTATTTTTGAGGCAGTCCGCCACCGTTGTGAACGATGGAGATGCTGCAACTATGGTAGGAATGTGTCTTAGCATGGATGAGATGGTAAGAAGTGAACCATGCCGAGCAGACCAGTTAGGAGATGAAGCTTTATCTGGAAGTTCCTCTAGTAATTCAGAAATTTGATCATCTTCCAAATGCTACAATTAATTAAAAAAAGAGAGTCAAGGGACGCTGAATTAAACAGTTTCACAGTAAAAATATGCAGTTTAAATGGCACAAACCTCAGATAAGATTCCCAAGATTCTTGCTGAAGAACTTCGTATTTGGTCATCATCATTGTATATCATCACCTTCAAAAGATCAAAGACACGGGTCTTAACGGGAGCACTAACACTCTTCCCAGCATACTTGACAACACCTTGAAGAGCGACCAATATTGCTTCACGAACGCCACCTTCTGATGCCTGTTAATATGTGCCTTTATCAACGTTAGACCATCTATGGATTATGACAAACACAAGGTTAAAAGACAAACACACACAAAAACAAGCGTAACCTGCAAGTTGGAAAGCAAATCGCCAACTAGAGGATCAACTCGGGTACTTAAAGCGCTAAGCTTCCCGAGTGCTGAGGCGGCACTTGAACGAACAGTCCTGCATCGATATTCATGTAGTCATATCGACATTAGCGCCGAGGTAAGTGATTTATACAACAATAACAATCAACAAAAAGGGAGGAAAAAGAGAAAAAGAGAAAAAGAGAAAAAGAACAGTTTCCCAAGATAATTCTCGAGAGATGCATAACAAAATAAATCTCACCTGGTGTTGTCCTGCAAGCATTTAACGAAGGTCGTTTGTAGCTGTGGAAGAAAAGGTTTCAAAGCCATCCCACCCTTTGCGATTATGATGGTCAAAGTCGACAGAATAGCACTTTTCACTTGCCATGGGAATCGATCACCTATAATTCGAATCAGAGGCCTGAAAATGATGAAAGTAGAAAACAGAAGTCAAGCAATAAAATAACGGAGGAAGGAAAATAAAAATAAAGAAGACACTCCTACAAGTATAGAAATCCTTGTAAAAGATATAAGCAATTGACAATTTTATTACTTGGCATACCCGTCGGGTGAATTAAGAGCGTATGGAAAACGAGAAAGGCCTTCAACCAGAAAGCCATTATAATACAGAAGATAAAAACGAAGACCATAAAGAAAGCTTAATCCCATCAATTAGCGAATTGAAAAACCGAGCACCGTTTGAATTAGAGATGCACAGGGCCCGGACCTTCCAAGCTCGATTTTAGTAAACAAAAAAATGGCCCAGGCCTTTTCGGGTCCGGGGTTTGGGTGGGATAGGCCAGATCTGCCTTTTTTCGAGCTTTTGAAAGGATTAGATGCCTGGAATAAGCCTGGGCTTTTTTTTGCATCTCTAGTCTGAATGAAACAGATTAACAAGGAGACGCATAATAGAACATTAGTTCTGTGTATGTCCCTTAGAGTAGGACGAGCAGAAAGATTATCATCAAATTGGCAGGTGAAGATAGAATATTTGTAGTGTTACTGAAAATGAAGACAAGGTATTACTCCCTCCGTCCCAAAATAAATGTTCCAATCTCTATTTCAGTTTGTCCCAAATTAAGTGTCCACTTTTTGAAAATGATTGCATACTTTCCCTGTCTACCCTTAATTATGAGATGGAAAAAAGTAAAGGTAAAACTGTCATTTAGTTCATTAAAAAGTGTAATAATTACAGTTTTCTAAATTGGTGTGCCTTTTTCATTGTGGGCACTTATGTTGGGATGGATATATCACTAAAACAGATGACCTATATGATTATAATGTAATTAAGTGATATCTCAATTATCTAAACACACTTTCAGTAACAATTCTCAGCAGACTATTCAAATGCGGAAAAGAAAGGCACCATCAGCATAATAGGATGGTACTTACCCCGTAATAGGGATTACAAACTCCTTGAGTGCTTTTTCGCTGGTTACTTCAATTAATTCTCCAAGACCCTGAGCAGCCTGCTCTCTCAATTCTGCAGACCCGCTTATTAGGCCCTGACGTTCAAAAAAAAAAAAAAACAGAGATTTAACAATCATAAAAAGCATGGCTTTAAAAGTCCAGAATATTAAAAAAAATGTGTCGATACGCTCCGAATTAGACTGAACAACGGAGGCCTGAAAGATTCAGTAAAAGCCTAATCAAATTGCAAGGAATAAGTAAACAATTGCAGACACAAAATGCCAAATCCAAATCATCAACTAGAGACCAATATACTTTTAACCATCATCCAAAATCACATGCATAACTACAAGTAACATCAAGACCCATCTAAAACTTTAAGCCACGCAATTTGGTTGTGCCGGTGAATAAAATGAAGATTCACATCATTACTCAAAATCACAAGTAGCCTCAGACCCCACTTCGCGTGGGATTTACTGGGTTCGTTTCGTAACTACAAGTTTTATGTTGTGACTTTTGTATAGTACGTGAAACTTTCTTGTTCTTGTGCTTTCTAACATTTACTTTTCTTGCACCAAAGGTTGTGTTGTTTGGTCAAGTTGGTTTTTTATGTTCAATAAATGAAAAAAAATATGAATGCATCATGCATCAGAATTTCCGTGCATTGAAGTGTAGCACAGTATAAGTGAGTTTAAATTTGTTCGGATGCTTCATTTACATACTAAATAACATATAACATTTTGGTAGACCCTAGTTCTCAACTGTCCAGCCAAAATTTGACCCAAATAAACCACTTTAATTTTACCCCCCCTCTCCGTCCAGGAATAAGTGTTCACGTTTCTAAGTTTGTCCAAAAATAAGTATCCACTTTCCAAGATAGATAGTTACTCCCTCCGTCCAACAATAAATGTCCACAATGAAAAAAACACAGTTTTAGAAATGTATAATTATTACACTTGTCCATCAACTAAATTACAATTTTAGCCTTAATAATAGAGAGTAATGAATTTCTCCATCTCATAATTAAGGGTAGAATTGGAAAGTAGGAACTTACTTTTGAAGGTATACTCATTTTGGGACGGATGAAGTAGAATTTACTGAATTTCCAGCTCTCCCCTTAATTATGACAGAATATCTCAAAGTTGATGAGATGGGGGGGGGGGGAGAGAGAGAGAAGGTTTCCTAATTCATTAAGGGTAGAATTGTCATTCATTTAACTGAAAGGTGTAATAATTACACATTTGTTACACGGTTTTTTCATTGTGGTCATTTAATTTCGTTACTTTAGTTGATTCAAATGATGGGTTCGTCGGATTAGCTTTGATACCCGAATTTTTGATTGAAAAAGTGGATARCATAGAAATAGGGGATGGTCTGGCATTTTTTACATTTCTTTATTTTTTTGGATCGGGAAATTTTTTCTTTTTTCATCCGATTTAGTCATTTTTCTGTTCCAAATAGATTAGAAATTTTTTTTTTTTTCTTAGTTTAATGCTTTGATTTAATCATTTTGTTTCCACGTGCCCATGTTACTCGGGTCAAAGCGTAAGCTAGTGATGCTTTCGGCTACTGGACTTTCGCCATCTGGGTGCAGCATTCTACTGCTTCGCCTAGCAGCACGACGCTTGTATTAACGGAGGAAGTATGATTTTGGGTAGGGTTGGATATGGGATAAAGTACATCCATACATGGATTGGGTTAAAATGATTTTTTGTTCGGACCAGGTAGCGTCTACATTAAATTTTTTCCATCTTATCCAAATTGCACCTGTATAACAGGGTTGTCATTGAACGAATAGCTTCCAATGTTTGGACCAAATTACTTCTATGGGTGTGTCCGGTGAAACTAATCTAGATTATTACCTTTAAACTACAGAACCATAGCAGACTAACCTTATTTTACACGAGCTCGATTTTGAGTCACTTTTAGATGCATAATAGGTGAGATGTGCAAGAAAAGTTTGTGTATAACATCTAAACAAGCTTACACAAAGATAGAGGAGTACCTGAAGATATATGGGAAGCAACGGTTGAAGAGCTTTTGGAAGACAAAACCCAGGTATAACAATTGGACCACCCTGTACGTTAATCAACAAATAACTCTAGTGTTACAACTTACAAGGATGCACGCATGCTCATAAAAAAAAGTTATGCACGCTTTCATTAATCCAAAACGGTAAAAGGAGAGCAAAATAATGAACATATTTTCACCTTTTTCTTTCTACGTTCCTTGTCTCTAGATGTGGAAACAGCATCACGAACTAACTTTATATATGAAGGTAGAACTTCTTTGGGGACTGAACTAACAACTCTTGACAGTGCTTCCCATGCAGCCTGTTATATACATGATGAGGTACACGAAAAAAGAAAAAGGACGGCAAAGAACAATAAGGTAAACCGAACTATACCGATACAGTAGCCGAGTCTGAGTCACTTAGTAAAATGATCAGGATGGATATCATATTTGGAGCTTCATCCACCAGATACAATTTACTGTTTTTGAAGAAATATCCAATTAAGTACGCAGAACTGCGCCTAGTTGAAGCCTGCAAGTAATAACAGCATGTATGAGATAGAGAGATAAAGAGATGGAGTGAGGTTACGATTTTCAGCATCCTTTACCTGGTTATCCCCAACCCCCTTCAATAACTCTGATATCAAATTCTCTATCCCTTCGTCATCAATGACCAAGACCACAGTTTCTGCAGCCTTCTTTGCAAGATCCTGGACTTCCTATAGTGCAAAAAAAAAATACAATTTAGCATGGAAGCCATATCAAGATCACTCATGTGTATATGGGTGCGTTTGGTACACTGGACAAGAAAGAAAAGAACATCCACGTTTGGCAGGACTTTTATGTAGAACAGGCGTGTTCCACCCCTACCCCATGGAACAAGATGGAAGAGACTTACATTTCACCAATATAACTTCAAAATAAAATCTAATTCTCTTCTAAAACATCAAATACGCCTCCCTCTTTACATTTTATTCATTCTTTAAATTTTATTTATTGTATTGTATGCTCTCTTTAAATTCACTTTACTGACCTCGAAATATTATTTTTATACAGTTTCTATATTTTGGTTAATTTATAGTTTATTAAATATCAATAATATAGAAAGGTATAAAATAAAAATTAGAAACTACATGAACTTTTTATTTTGGTGCCATTTCAATCGTTTTGACGAAAACTTTCTATATGATATATTTTGTTAATAAAAAATATTTATTTTGTTATAACTAAATAAATTGCATAAATTAATCAAAATATATAAACAACTCATTAGGGGTAAATTAGTCATTTTATCCATTTTGTCCTGTCTAGTTCTGTCTTATCAAACGCTGAACAATTGTTCTGTCTTGTTTTGTCCTGTCTGGATACCAAACGCATCCTATATGAACAGAGTAGCATACCACATGATTATCATCTCCCATTGCAGAGAGCAAAGCAGGAAGAATTGTTGAAAGATGGACATTTAGGCCAGCACATGCGACCTCCGCAACAGCTCCCAGAGCATGTGCATTGAATTCACTGAAAATCACGTTTCCATGAACAATTAGCATCATAAATTAGGTGTCCAAGAAATAAGAAAACCTGAATTCTCGGGCACATACGAGAGAGGGAGATGAACAAGCTTTGGCAATATATGAGGCAACACAGCTGCAGTCCTGACACTGTCATAAAATGGGGGCCATTTCAGTTTTCAATAAGAGAAGCTAATAAGACTCGGCAACCTATAACTTGTCCAGTAATTTGGGTTCCTTAATACCTCAAAATTTGTTTGAGGCCATCAAGGGCAGTATCCGCCATATCATCATCTTCCAAGGCATGGAGAAGCGTTGGGACAATTTCATCGATTGCTTGCATTCCAGCACTCTACAGATATATAAAGAATAAAATAAGCAGAGTACAACATCATGTAATAAAAAGATGTGCCCAAAATATGCTAGGAGTACCTTGTACAGTGTACTAAAAGCAACTCCTGCAGACTCGCGAACCTCGACCATGCTGTAGAAGATATAAATTTCTCATAGAATATTAATCGAAATTGTATATATATCATGAATAACGAAAAGAAAGGAAGAAAAAGATAAAAACATAGATGTACCTATCACAAAGAGCTGTACGGATGGTTGGGATAAGCTCGCCCATGAAACTTATTAATTGACTCTTACCAGCACTGGCCATCACTTCACTTAGGCCAATACAAACACCCTGTTTATTATATCATTGAACTAATTAATGGCAATTCTCTTCAAGAACTACTTGATGAAAAAAGAAACTCAAAATACACAAGCGGATACTGCCAAACTACTGAATAAAGTTTTTCCAAGGGGTTCCGTCCCCTTCTTCCAGAAAAAATACTGCCAAACTAGTATTTTAACACATGCACAAGAAGCCATGGATCCAATTATATGGTATAAACTGCTAAATCCTTTTGTTAGTTGGTACATGAAAACGTAGTGGTGACGTCATCACCATCAGTACTTATGAGTTACAAAAGAATTAACAAGATGCCATTCACTATCCTTTTCATTACATGCACTACAACTATATTCTTCTTGCAGTCCTACGAAAAATTTAGGCATGAGGCAACACAATTGTCACCCAAATTTGTAGCATATACCAGTTCTATCTCAGTTGAACATAATCTAAACCGAGTATTTTAAATGCAGTACTTTCTTTCATTGTAAAGAATAAACCAAGTGCAATAACATAATTGAGACATTGGGTAATGGAATTAAATACCTGTCTTCTGCTAGAATCAGGGTCCTTCAAGCCTTGAGATAATATAGGAATAACCAGCGGAAGAACCCTCTCCCCAAGTTTCCTAACAAGCTCACCCAATGCTCGTCCAGCAACCTTACAAAATAAGCAACAATTTAGTTTCCAAGTATAACATATGTATGAGTTTATAAACACATATAACCAAAATGACAGACCTGCCGCCTTTCAGAGGATGATGATGCAAGAGAAGAGATAAGGGTATTCATCAAAACTGGCATTATCTCCTTCAGAGTTTTTGGAGTATTTACAACGATAGTCTTCCACACATGTAAGGCAGCCTACAGAGGGAGTCAGTGGGTTCAGGTTCGCAATAAAATCCAGATATGTGGCTTCTCAACTGGACATGGAACACGTAATGTTAACACCGATAATATCCTACCTGACGAACTGAAAGGCTGACATCTGTTCGAACCATATAGAGTGCAGCAAGCACTTCATTACGCTTATCTCGGCCAAGTACCTCAATGATTGCACGCCCTTGTGCTTCAGTACTGGCCCCTTCATCGTCACTACCACCCTCAAGAAGAGCTTTCCCAGAAGTGCCAGCAACCTGGAAAAAATACATATTCTCAATAAAGATAATTGGTTCCAATAATAACAGAAGGAAAGATGAGGAGCTTATACCTTAAATAAGAGATCACCTAAAAGTTCCACAGAACTTTGACGGATACGCCAATTATCATTGAATATACCATCTTCTACAGCTGGAAGAAGCAAAGGCAGAGACCTGACATAAAAAGAAAGTACGTCATAGATAAAGTGACAGTCTCATAACTGTGCCAAAGTACAAACACAGAATGGACAAAACACCAAAACAGTTTCAAACTATCAACTTATGACCATGATAATGATTTTACTCCTTTTATAATCATTTCTGTGATGGGCCTGATGGCATTCTGTACCATCATACTTGGCACTTTGTTCATAAACAACCAACATATTTGCTAAAATGCAAAAAGAGATTACACTGGTTGGCATAAATAGCTAAAAAAGCACTCCAGTTGGTAAATTATTTCTCTGTTTTCTGCCAGGTCAAGTGTTCTGTTTTTGTACTTTTACATTTATGGTGGCTGTTTGGAGATGAGGTATCAAGTAGAATTGTTAGAAATGCTAATCATTCATAGAACAACCATTAATACAAGGACATCAGCAAATACAAAGTACCAAACATGTTAAAAGCCACCTCTTTTTGCAACTAAATCAAACAACTTACGTAACAGCATAATGCTCAACCAGTATGTGCCCAGCTCCAAGTGCAGCTTCACGTACAGATTCATTTTCATCCGCAAGACCTGATGACAAATGTGCATATTAATCATATGCCCAATAAAGGAGAAGTGCATGAGTCAAATGTATTATAAGAAGAAAATTGTTACGTTGGCATCTTTTAAGCAATCACTCGCACACAGAAAGAAAGAGCATAAGAATGTCCTGAAACAAGTTGTATCCCAACACAATACATACCATCTAATATGGATGGTAGGACTTGCTGCAAGTAGTTCTGGAACTGTACACCCAATGATCTTGGCAGATACTACAAGAAAAATAACCTTATTGTGCAAGAAAACAAGTAGCAAATGTATAACTGAAAGAGAAAATACAAAGATGACAGTTCAACCATTAAAAAAAAGGCTCACCTTGAAAAGTGTCAGATAACCATCACGCACGGACGCCTTTTGATGAGAGCAGTTCCTTATGATGTCAGGAAGAAGGTGCTCAAAGTACTCTGTGCCAAGAGCAGCAACCACCTAGAGACGGGAATAGACACTGGTTCAACGAAAACTTAAACAGGCCAATCCTTTAAACTAGGTATACCTATCCATAGATTGAAAATCAAAAGAGAACCAGAATATATTTTACATCCAAAGAATCTATGGCTAAGAAAGACGCTGATTCAACAAAAACTTCAAACGTAAAACAAAATAAGCTAAATTCCCCCTTAAACTTATTAGATCTGTAGATGATACAAAAGTAACACCATATATAATTAAATAATATATACCATATAAGAAAAACAAATATAAAGAAGGCTTGTGACCACTACAATCGTAAAAGGTAATAGCTTCTGACCTCACTCAACCCTTGAGCAGCACCAGAGCGTTCAACATTACTACCGTCAGACTTGAGTGTGTCTAGCAACCATGGAACAAGGTCTGGGAAGTTCTCTTCTCCCATCCCTCTTATCAGAGAACCAACGGCTCTGGCTGCTACAGACCGAACTTCAGGGATTGGATCCACTAAAACCTGTTTTTAAGTAAATTATTAAATAGCAATAGCATGATTAGTATCACCATTACCCAAAAAAATGTATATTAGTAACAGTATGTTGCAACAATACAGGAAAAGGTCACATTTTTCTACATACAGCACAATATACATACAAAATACCTTTTTAATTTCAGGAAGAAGCAATCCTATATATGGAAGCATGTCGGTTGGGTCAGTGACTAATGAACACATATTGCCAGCTATTTGTGCAGCCTTCTTTTTAGTTTCAGCACCCCTCTCTCTCAATCCACGATGGACAATGGGTACCAAAAGGGCAAGTGAAGGAGCATCAATGGAATTTATAAAAGTTGTCTGCAAAACATCGATAAGCCCCCAACAAAATTAAGAAAAGCTACCAAGTCAATTATAACAATAAAAGCAACATGTCGTACCTGAAGAAGAATATCAAGGGAATATTTTGTATGGTCATTGGGGTCTGTGAGACCCAGCAAAAGAGTTGGAACAAGGGAAGCGATTTCAGGATTCTTTATCACACTACCAACCTATATATCACAAAGAAGAGTTACATCCACTCATAAGCACAGAAAAAACAGAACGGTAGACAGCTTATACAATATACTGATACCTGCTGGAGTGCTGTCTGCCCTGCAGACTGCACTTTTGGATGAGTGTCAGTTAGCACCTGGAATCAATCAGAAGATAATTAGACCCATAACCTATGTTTCTTTTAACGAAAGAAGCAAGTCAAAACACAGGTGCCATAGGTACTCTTCATGTCCAAAGTACCTCCGTCAATTTTGGAACAATCTTAGGTAGGCATTGAGATAGTTGTTGTGGAGCACAATATGCCATAGCTCCAAGAAGTTGAACACTACTCTGCTTTGTCCGCCAAGCTTTATCTTCCAGACCCTGAAATTATCATCAAGGCATAAACCATAAAAAGATGGATGATATTTTTCTCAGATGAAGAACGCCAATAAGATGATAATTCAAAATTGGCTCTCAAAACATGGCCTCTAGGATGGTTAAGTCAAAGAGGCTTGAGAGGGTACAAGACATGAAACAGAACAAAGTCGATATGACTCCAGTAGAGATTGGTTCCTAGAGGGAGGAACCAAGTTTGTACTCGGTGGTTGGGCCTATGTGCACCTTACATGAATTCATGCACGTCTTGGACAACACACACACATATATATATGAATATATAAAGGAGCTCCAAGTGAGGATGGTAAAAATGTTCAGGAGGCGCAAACAGTCCTCAACCACTAGATCTTTTTCATCAAGATACAAGATTAATGGTGACAATTTTGTAAAAAGCTAGATGAGGGTGGCCTCTTTCAAAACAAAAAAGTAGTTGATGGGGAATAATGAGAAATTCACTCATCCTTGCCATTTTGAAAACCAGCGCCAAGCAAAAATTCAGAGAGTGATTAGGACGTGTGATTCATTCCATATTTTCAGCGTACAATCTTCTTACATTCTCTTCAGTTTGATTCTGAAGCTGTTTCAGTTGGAAGAACACAAAAAGATGGAAATTCGGTGGCGGCTGTGTGTGTGCTGTGTTCTTTCCGTCATCAAAATCGAAAATGGCATCAGTTAGGACGCACAATCAGGAAATCTAAACCCATATCCAAATCGAAACCTCTCCCCTCCTAAACCTCACCTGCAACCCCTTTTTACGATCTCTATCCTACAACTTTGGTCCCGGCGGTGACTGTGGGGGAGGCCAGAGATGGAGGCGGTGAAGAAGATGGAAACCAGCAGAGGAAGGTCTTGGAAGGTCTTGGTGGTGGCTGAGTTTGTGTAATGATTAATGTGTTTTCCTAAGATAAGGGTTTTTTTGTTGTATTCAACAAGGCCTGACAACGTCTCATTAAAGAAGATGACCACCTTAAACTTCGAGGTCAATCTGTGGAGCTTTCTCATATGAAGTTCCACATGTATGTTTTGTTGTCTAAGCAACCAAGTGTATAGGCAATATTATGACACATTGTTTGATTTGAATGTGTATCTGCGGAGCTTCACATGTGAAGCTCCAAATGTATGTAAAAATCGAAGAAAAACTTTTGAAAATGGATAGCATATGAAGTATCCGATGTGAAGCAATATTTAAATAGTTGGACAAATTATAGTAATTACATTGCTTGTTAGATACAATGCTTGAAACAATGTTCAAGTTACAAAGCTTCACATATGAAGCTATTCATGTACAAATGCATGAACGGCTACTTTGATAACAATAAAAGAGAGAGAGAGAGAGAGATAGAGAGAGAGAGAGAGGGACCTTCAAAAGTGATGGAAGAACAAGTTTCACCCCCTGTGCAGTAAGTTGAGACATCATAGCCCGAGCAGCACATTCAGCAGCTTCCCGAACAGCAACAACTTGATCAGAGAACGAAACTAAAAGCAATGGTAACAAGTAGATTACATACCTGTGACATAGAGACAAAATTATTAAACAGTGATTGATCAACTTAGTGCAAGAAAGAATCAAATGCCAATCAAAATTATTAACCAACTGAAAATGGCTACTTACGGTTCGAACAATTTTCCAAGCTTTTCACAAAGACACTCAAATGCCAGCAAAGCTCCTTCGCGACATTTGGCAGAATTCCTAAATTTATGGCAATTACGTTTGTCAGAGCAGCAATTAATAATAACAAAGAAGAGTTAACAATATAGAGATATACAGGCATAGATACATAGTTTTGCTGAAAAAAGAATAGAGCAATATTAACAAAGAAGAGTTACTAGAAACTTCTTAGAAGATTCTTTGATCAGTACAAGTAAAGAGGCATACTTTTATGTCCAAAATATAAAAATGTCCATATCAGTTCTACATTTCACAAACACAATCAAAGAAAGCCATACATAAAGTTGAGATCTCTCTCCACCTTGGGATCTCTAGGCAGTCTGACTCGCTCTCCGTTCCCTCCCCTCTCAGCCTTTGTAGATGAAATAATATATACGCTTTATTCCCCCTTCTTCCATGGGATCGGTTACATATATTCTCTTTCATTTGTGTTATCAAACTAGTTCTTTCTATATAAACAACGCCTACTACATGGTCATCTGTGCGTACTATATTTCTTTGTCCCTTGCTTTTTACTATCTTGTTATTCCTCATGATAGCGCTAATGGGTCTATTTGCAGAAGTACAAAGTATATTAAGGAATATTTTCATTTGGTTCCTCACTGGTGATAGAATACAGTAATTATTATATGTTGTAATAGTTTATAAAGAACTTCCATTCATCAAAGTTAATAATCAGTGTTCCTCAGATATACAAGTATTATGAGAAATTACCTATTCTCTATAAAAAAGTGACTATTTATATTATTATAAAATTGTTTGTTACAGTGTAAAAATAAAAATGTGAGCAAAAGATAAAATCAACGAGCAGCCAACAAGATTTAGATTTTGTACACAGCAGACTGGATATAACGGAGAGGGTTTTAAGAACAACCTATTTGCAAGTCCTTCGCGTAGCACTGTTGCCACCCCGTACTTTTTCAAACTAGATATTCCAAATCCTTTTATAACCCCGGCAAGTCCAAAAGCTGCTCCACGGCGCTCCCCATATTTCTCACTCTTCATCAGCTGATCTAATAGCCTAGAAACAAGTGACATTCCATCTTCCTAATGCCAAAAAATGAAACAGTAAGGATAATATAAGTCCACCCTGAAGTACACATTAAAAATAATTTACCAAACTCGTTACTTCCTACCAACCAGAAAAGCATTACCTTCACGTACATAAAATATTATATCTCGAAATGGTTCAGAATAGTGAAATAGTTCTAGTAAGTTGGTGAAATTAGAATAGACTAGGCTTCATTAACTTTCTACTTCAGATGTAAATTTCTGAATTTTGATTTTGGTTTTTGCAACCATAAAGCATACAAAATTTTAGTTAACCAATATGACAACTTATCTTAAGATATTATTTACAAGATTAAAACACTCATCAAAATTCAATGAGGCCAGATTACAGAACATAATAACTCCACATGATATACACCAAACCACACCAAACAGACGGTTAATCCCATCGAAAGTTGGGTCTGTGGGGGGAGATGTAAGCAGACACTGGCCTCTATCCCAAAAGGATAGAGCGGCTATTTCCGTGAAGACCCCTGGCTTTTGCAAGAGTGGGCAGGCAGGTGGAAGGAATAAAAACTAACATATGGTGAAAGCGACTTCAGGAGCAGAAAAAAATTAAAACTAGGCCTTTGAGAGAGAACTGGGAGAAATACATAAATGTACAGTGGTCTCACGTTTTAGTAACCAATGATAGCATAAGATCAAATTTACAACTTAAGGTCAGCAAATTAAATATCAATACCTGAAATAGATATTGGTAATAGAATTGTGATGGAAACGGCAGAAAATATCTAGCACAGGAAGCTCCCGCAGAGTGTAAATAACATAGACAAATACAATATAGCATAAAAGTAAACGCCAAGCATCCATTGTGTCTGAATCTCATTCTACTGACAGAGAGGAGAAACTAGCCTAGCAGCTTTAAGAATGATTGAAGTCTCTAAAACCAAGTGAAAGTCACTTTTAAATGGCATTGCTGTCCAAAACTTGAAGACAAGAAAAAAATGTTAACATTTATAGTTGTAGACATGTGAAAATTAGTAGTTATGAAGTCACTTTTTATTTTTTTTTCATATCACAAAATTTAAAGAAACAACAGACATTAATAAATGATTTCTAGAATCCAGGAACTTCTATTAGCAAAACTAAGACATACTTGCTTCGATTTCATTAATGGAGACAGGCAGCTTGAGACTGCCCTCTGAACAGCTTCTGAGGGGGTGTTTAGCACCTCCAGCAACTTCTCTACAACAGCATGGACCTTAGGATCATCCTGTTTCAGAAGAAAATGTTATAATAGAAAAGAAAAAAAAACATCGAGAGACCTGTAAATAAATATATATACTTCTAAGAGACTGCCAAGGAAATAATATCAAACCTTGGACAAATGTTTTGCTAAAGCTCCAGTAAAGATGACCACACCCTCTCGTACCAAATCATATTTTTCTTCATCCGAAGCCTAAAAAGGTTAAATCAAAATTGAGCAATTCTATGAAAAAGCAGTATATAAAAATCACAAATCAATAACAGGTGCTGAAAACTCCCGACATTTGCATTGGCATATGTATACATCCCTTCATTAAGCACAAGTGTTTAAATCTGTATATAGGCCCGCAAACATAATAACTTATTCCTTCTTCAATATATTCAAGAAGCAACAAATCTTTTTGATGGTTGTATTAATAATCATCTGCACAAGTGACCATTTAATCATGTAGCTACTTCCTACATGCATAAAAAAACAAAGTTGACTCAAATGCAAATAAACACAAGTCTAATCACCAATATGGAGGTAAAATTAGATGGTAAGACGTTAAAAGAACATGTATTATCAATCAAAAACTGCCTCAAGGATGAAGACCTTCCCCTAATTGGGTTCACCCTTCCACCCCTCCCCTCCTTTTGCCAATGAATGAATATAGTAGAAAAGGTTCTAATTTAATATATAGAAGTCATTAGTCAAATTAGTGGGAGCAGGAATTCAAGATACTAATTAAAAAAATTGTGGAAACAGGAAAGGCATAATGGACAAAGAAAAGACAGAAACCCACAAGAATAAAGGACCAAAAAAATCAAAACATTCACACATTAGGTACTACAATGAGGGCTTAAAATAATAATGAACATGCAGTAACAAATACAGTAAAGACAGACATAAGCTTGCAACATGGTGACCTTGTTGAAAGAATCATAACCAAAAAAATAAGTATACATACAAAAACGGTGCTATTGCCAGCAAATCATTCAAAAAAAAGTGAAAAACTGATAGAACAATCAGAGAACAGAACATGATGAACAAGTAGCAGTTTTTTACTTGTTAAAAGATGAATTAGAAAGTACAAATATAAATTTAAGGCTACGCAGTTATCACAGTGCTAAACTATAACCAGAGTCAGGTCCTGGATTTGTTATACAAAAAAAATGGAGAAGAGGTGGTATAGCAGGAAAAGAAATAGTGGTTCCTGTAATAACCAAAAATATTTATATAAGTGAAGTACTTGATATATGTAATTCATATCAGATAGATTAATTCAATAAAAGCATAAAGTTTCGAGTTTCAACATCAAAACATAAAGTTTTCTGTGATAAAGTGATAAAAGTCTCAAAATCAGAACACAGGATCACACATCAAAACAAATCGAATCGCGGCAAATCGTACCGCAAACAGAGATACCACAATTTTATACCATGATAGTGCAATTTCCAGCGGTCAAGGACGGCTAACCACTATTGACTACCTAGCTTTAAGGGCTTAATCTTAAGTGAAACTTCTAATCAAAATCATACACTGACCTTCTTGTTTAAGTAATTTTCGAATATAGGAAATAACAGGGAGACGTTATCTTTTCCATGTTTGTCAATGATCATGATACCAGCATTGATCATTCTTCCTCGAACATCAGCATTGGTATCAGCCTGCATTTGAAATCATCAAAAAATATACAATAATTTAAATCTAAGCATGCTTCCAAGTTAAGACAATTCATGAACCAGTAACTCATTATGCATTTCCCTAGTTGTTTGACCCAAACACGTCAGAAACTTGCAATAATATGTTTGTTTTACGGTGATTACAGAGAATAAAGAAAGACAATATCCTCTTCTGAGTGCTTCGACGTTTTCCTTTTAGTCAAAAAATTGTGAAATACTCGGCCCATCCCCCAGCATTAGAAGAGTTGATATAAGAGACCCTTATGGTTCTAACGACAGCCTCAAATATGAGAGAATCTGGTTACAATAATTGTTTCTACAGAAATTTGTTTACATTGAGGAGGGTGCCATTTACTTTCAAAAAACCTTAAAAGCAGAAAGTAGGGCATTAATAAGGACAAATGAAGGAAGAGAAATAAGCCAAGAAAGCAAACTTATGTCGCTAAATAACTTTAAGCACTAATCCAGACTATTTGCACATGTTACTGAACAAGTTCATGTACCATGAAGCTAATTGAAAATTAAGAACTAAAAGCATCCATAAAGTTGCTCGATTCAATAGCTAATCCAGTTAAAGCAAGTCTTGAAGGAAACTAATGACTAGCTATCACAAGCTTAAATGAGCAAGGCAGAAAAAGCAAATACCAGTGCTCGGGATATCAAGAATGTCATAACAACTGGAAGGTCTTTGGTTCTAAGTACATCAGCTGCTGCATGTAAAGCTAATGCAGTCCCTTGTCTGCCTAACCAACCAGAATCAATGTTGTCCTCGCTGATACCACCATCACGAATATAAAGAGAGAACAGAGTCGCAAGGGCTTCCTGAACAAAAATCACTCTGTAAGAGAACAACTTTTAGATTACTAAAAGACCCAAATAGAAACTGGAAGTCACCTGTATCGTATCTGGGTACTCATCTAAGGCAGCAGCTAATGCATCGGCAGCAGCCATTCGAACATTATAATTAACATGAGAAAGAGACCTGAAGAGTCCAGAATAATCTGTCCCAAATTCATGGTCATAACGATCCCAGATATCCTCTGCCACTTCAGCCACTGACTGAATAATCGATAAGCATTAAACGAAAGAAATGTAAGTAAATTATAAAATTAAGCACAAAAAAGTCAGTGATAACTAAAACAGACATAGTTGTAAGCCTAGAACAATATATAGGAACTGTCAAATAAGCCTCTCCAGCAAAATAACATGGATATCATAAACACTGATTCTAGACTCTAAAGGCAAGGCAATGATATCAGTATCCTTGGTGAGACTGAGCATGGACAGAAAAAATAACAATGCAACATATAGATCGAAATAAACAAATAAATTTCAAGTAAAACTGTAAAAATTCTGGATCCCTGAAAAACTGGAGAGAAGAATAATGCACCCTCTGTTCCACTGTAGGTAGGTGTCTCCTTTTGACTGCTAGAAAACAACTATACAAGAAGTATGATGAATGGAAAAACCTGGTGGCCAAAATGCAACATGTCAATATTTAATCTGAGAACGTGGTCTATCTGGCATTAAACTGTAAAAAGGGATGCCTAAAGTGGAACAAAGGGGGTGATGGACTTTTAGGTCAAATGATTACACTAATGAGCTACAATAAAATAAAATAAACAGACACAATCAGTAGAACAATTTTGTTTTCTGGAGTATCTATACACAACTACACATACATGCCATTATTATGTTTTTTCTTTTTTTCTTTTCAGGTGGCTTACCTGCCTTTGACTATAAGCATCATCAAAGTTAAACTTTAGAGCAAGATAAACACCAAGTCAGCCATACCAAGCATATAAACCTATTTACTAAATTTTATAACCAACTGGATCTCATTTTACAAGGAAAATGGGTGGAAAACCACATGGCATGAAGAATAGCATCATATTCAGAAAATTGGTACAATGGATAGAAAACCATATCGGATGTACAAGCAAATTCTTTGGTGATTAACAGCAGATAACTGGCAGAAGCATTATAGCTGTTACTCCTAAAGAAAAGAAGAGAAACAATTGCAGAGCATTAAAGAGCACAAAAAACTAAAAAGTTGATACTTGGCAGGAGATAAGCTAGGATATGATACACATCAAGTTGTTAGGGCAAGAAACACGTGTTAGTGGGGTTCATTGCCACCCTCTCCCTTGACCGATGTAGTGAACATAAAAGGATGTGCACATGACAGAAAGTGGCACTTCCCATATTGAAACCATACCATGCTCCCACCCCTAACCTGCTTCCCTCCTATTCAAGATCCACCCTGCCCCTGATTGCCTCACCATATCTGATCCACCTCAATGCATTTTGACTTGCAATTTTTACATGTTTCTCTTAGATTTTCTATTAAGGTAAAAAAAACCTTCTTTAGGGCTCTATTATTAGACTTCAGGTTCCGTCTCACAGTTAAGAACAAAGTTACAGCAAAAAACCAAAGAGGTCAGATCAGAGTATAACGTTAACTCTGAATGCAACTTGGGGACAGAGACTCGCCTCACATACAACCCATCTAGGGCAAGAGACCAACAAAACAAGCTTAGCTGTCACCCCTAATAATATTTCCAAAAAGTAGACCAAAATATTGTGGCGCAGACATGATATAAACCAAATCAATCTAATACATGATCAAAAACCCAAAATTTCTATTTGTACAACACCTTTTCTGGATCATGCAGGGCAATCCAAATGCTGGTTGCAAAGTTTACGTCCTGAGGAAGAGAACGGCTGGATACAGCTGGAATGCATTTCACAGCATTTAAACAAGCCATTCTAACATGAACATCTTTGGCATAAACACCAGATAAAGCCTGGAAATAAAGTCAAGAAAAGTTAGGCTGATAAGGGCATGGAGCAAAAATGATACATTGCTAAAATAAAAATACCACATACAGGTGTCGCTTCTTCTGGTTGCAAACCAAGACACAACTCATTTAAGGCTGGTACAACAGACCCTTGATAGGCAGGAATAGCTCCGAGAACATGATATAGAACCTGCCAAGAAGCATAATATCCAGATGTCATGGCAAATAAAACAAAAAAAATATGATATAGATAATTCTGCAGATGTAAAGTCCGAAAAAGTAGAAACTTAACTGAAAGCATTTGAAGTCTAGGGAGGGGTAATACTGGATCCATATGTAGAAAAAGTATTCGAAGTACATCATCATGAAGTTGTGTCTTCTTAGGAGATGACAGTATTCTCTCCATTATCTTTTAAAAACAATGCAACAAGTAAGAAACATTAGTCTTTCAAGAAGCACAAGATATAGTACTAATCCCGTAAAATCGCCTATTGACTAACGTCGCAGTAAATTTAACAAACAGTAAAACTTACCGGAAAAATGAAGCGAAAAGAATCAACTGGCAGGGGGCCCGATTTGCATGATACTGATAAGCCATGCATTACTCTTTCAAAGAGACTCAATGATGACCTGTCATTGTGATCGCCCTCACCAAGAGACGAAAGACGATCCCATGAAACATAAGGTTCAGTAGTTGTAATTAGCCTCAAGGCAGTAGCAATGTCTAAACCCCAATTAGACAGTGGAGGAGCAGTACATCTTGATAGCTTCACCACTGTTTCGAAAGCCACCTCATTAACTATCCGTGACTGCAGTAACGGATTGACAAACTTGACCTGACATGTGATCACAAATATATCATAATTGAAAAATAAAAATTGGAAAGCATTCAAATAACAAATAACTACACGAGAGCCTGTCACTTTATATGATCACTTGGGCAGGTTGAACAAGCAGGATACAATTTTTGGTAAAGCTAGACAGGGAAAAAGAGTGACTAAAGGAAAGAAAAGAGAAGGTGATGAAACCAAAAGCATAAAACAACAAAACTAAATTAATTGGTTATGCGAGTAAAGACGCTTCTCCTGCAGCAAAAAAAATAGCAGTGTACATCAGACACTACAATAGCATTATACCAAAACAGGCAGCATGCCTTCTTAGAGCCCCAAGCTCCAGCTAGTACATCCCTTGACTTTGGATCGGCAATTATCCTACTGCTACCAAGGTTAAACTTCTCTAAAAATAATACAAATATACTCTATACAGGTATTACTATTGCCATGGTCAAAAGATCTTCAATAATGACAAAAGCCAAAAAAAAGTTGCATTTGATGCCTTTGAGATATTGTCATGATTTTTAAAGAAGCCATGGAACCAAAGAGTAATCGCATAGCATGTCAACTATAAAGGTGCCCTTCAAGTAAATCTAGCATCAAAAGAAACAAAACAACTTCCCGACCGTACTCATTTCTTCTCTCATCCTCTGCCCAACATGCGGTTGGTAATTTGATCACCGGAGATGTATGTCAAAAGGCCGCCTCAAGTAGCTTTTAGATGTGATTCACCACAAAAAAGAAGCTGAAGAAATATATGATTTGTAGACTGCACAAACGTTTGCTTAACTAGGACATAAAACCAAAAGAAAATGCTATACACTAAAGCCGCCTAAGATAAACAATCCTATATGAAATATAAGGAGACTAACCAGGGAGGGTAATTCACTGTGTGTGAAAACAGGATTAGCTATAGCCATCTCTCCTAAAGCTTTCAGCAACAAGGAAAGATTCTTCTGTATATTCATGACCTTCTCACGGATATAAGCTTCTTCTTGAAGCTGCAATTCACGTGCCTCCTCCTTTGATGTCTTCTGTTTATCTAGATTGACCAAATAAAGAGCAAAATATAAATAATGTACTTAAATTTGTGAAAGAAAGAGATAATAAAAAAGCACTTGCCAGGCTTCCTTGTTTGTTTCCCTATATCCTTCTTCCCGGCACCAGCACGCTCTTTACCAGCAGTCTCTCGCTTTCCAGAAGTGGAGTTGCCATTGTCCTACGAGAAGCAACATGTTTTATGTCATTACCATTGCTCAAGAAATTATATCAGACGGGAATCAATGGACACAAGATCATCACCATGCTGTCACTGTTCTCGTAAGTCCGGAAGCGGCCTTTCGCCTGTTTCATGTTATTAGAAGCTACAGACTCCGCAATATACACACCTTGCTCAGTGGATACCATCCCTTCAGGGGTATGGAAAATCTGCCAACGTGAGAGTGGATGATGAATATAGACATTATGAAATGCTCAAGGACAACATAAAAGCCCTTTGTTACAAATAGAGATATTAACCCAGCATTGAGGGAAATGTAAATTTGAAGTTTTATGACTTCTCTTCATCATCCAGATTTGTAGATTCTACTTATAAAACAACAAGGAATTGATCATGGTAAGCAAATTCAAATAATAAGCAAGATATTATACTTAAATATGATAAATGGATAGATTATGCTCACCTGAATATCATTTTCTGATAGCATATCATGTGCACCACGATCAGGAGAACTTTTCAGGTGCTGTGAAATTTTCAAATGTCAAGTGACATAAAAGTTGTGAGAACCGAACGATGACCTCATTCAGATAGTTATTGAAAATTTTCCTAAATAGAGATGTGCTGTTAACCTTTTCAAATTCTGCATAGGCTTCAGCAGGTGTTATGGTCATCAAAGTGGACAAAGTATGTATAGCAGCTTCTTGTTCCATACGACTAGTACTCATCAACCCCATTGGTCCAAGCAAACTCTATATATTATAGCACAATAAAGGTTAAGGATGATACAATGATATAAAAAAGAGTAATGTAAGCCTCCAGATTAAAATGATCAAGCCTTTGATAGCCAATTGAATTGCAAAGGACGCTTTTCAGGCTTAATCCACAGCTAATTCATCAACCATACAGCTTAAAAGTCATGAACATATGCGACAAGGTTTAGTTGCCCATATGAAAATACTTGAATACTTGGCTGACATGGTTTACTTTGTCGCAGAATGAGATCCTGTGTACAATCAACTCACTTTCTATAATTGGACATTTCCAAGTCTTTCCTTGAATTAGCTCACGTATAAATAAATAATCATTTTTTCATATTGCAATTAAAGAAAAGCATGCCAAAATGGATCCAGATATTCAATTATAATATTATGATGGGGGCACAAAATAAGTTAGGTTACAAGGAAGAGAAAATAATGACGAGCAGGACTAGCAACCCACCACCCATAAAAGTCGGAAAAAACTTGTATAGAAAGGAGGTGAAATAAACTATTAATAACAGTTCCATATATCTTACAATGCAACACCCTCAAACCAACCCGTAGCAGAAATACACTAAGATACCTTCATTTGATATCCCAATTAACTCTGACGATCCCTCTATAGCTAATGGGTTTACAGAAATATGCACAAACTAAAGGCCAAACAATCCGACTCATATTAGAATAAAACTCCATGGTAGTTGATATTTGATGGACTAGTTTATTATTATTCGAAATAGGAGGCAACAGGCATTGCAAAAGAACATGGACCTTTGGTCCTTTATTGGGTAAGTATTTACTAGTAGAGGGGGTAATTTCAACCCATTTATGATTAAAAAAAAAGGGTCAACTTAGGTTACATTGTATAATAAAGAGTCAAATGGAAAACACTAAAAAGTGTAGCTAAAAAAGAAGCCAATTTCAAAGTTGCCCATAACATACTCACAGTATTTAGAACCTCGTAATCTGTTTTATATATAAAAAGATGGATCGTTATGTTAATAACAGTTTATCTTGATTGATGTATTAATTATTTAAAAAATATAAGAAGACCAAAAAAAAAGTGTTGACGGGGTCAACCTAGTCCATTTGCCATCTATAGTTAGAAAGAAAATCACATTCCATCATTAGATGTTATTTAATCCCGTTACAGTGCAAATAAGGGATGTATACATAACCAAAAATCAAATCAATATTCATCAGAAACAAAATATAGATGATCTGTTTGGTTATGGAATAGTGACCGCTGCAAGAGAACTATGATGCAAAAAAACAACATTATCCATCAAGACTAGAAACTAATCCCATACTACCCCACGAATTAGCACTCTAAAGACCAGTGCACAATCATGTATCCTCAGATAAATATATTCTTAAATACAAGGTTCCTAATTCCCCTCCAACCTGCTCATCTGGTTTAGAAAACAAAGTTGATTCCATGGTATGGGGTCAAAAGAGCTATCTTTACAGATTCATAAATTTGATCATCAAATAAATTATCAGTCAAGGAGCAATGTTGATCCGTTATTATGATAGGGAGTCACAAAGAGTGTTTGTCAGATACAGCATTAACCCCGTCTTTTGATAGGTCATTGTAAAAAGAGGTGCAAGCATCTGAGGGCAGTATTTGTGAAAATTGAAAGATAACATATATTTCTATTTATATGTATATTGTTGACCAAAAGGCTTATGCTGTTATATCGGTCAGAATACGAAATATCGGTCAGGACCGATATTCGATATATCGGTTATATCGGTGATATATCGGTCCAAAATAGCGGTTAACATAATATTTCTTAGAATTATATATATAATATGCATTAATTAGAGTTTAGAAATATAGTTTCAAAATTAAAACATCACATCATCTAAAGTGTTCAAATACGAACTAATATAAAAGAAAGAAGAAGACCGTTGTGGAGGCAGATCAATTTCAGACCTAATTTAAGTTACCAAGCCCAAAAAACTAGGCCCATGAAGTAACAAAAGCCCAAATATTTAAACCCTAAAAAATCGATATATCGGTCCGATGCATCAAAATATCGCTAAAAATCGGGAAAAATCGGAAAATATCGCCGATTTGACCGATATTTATGGACCAATATTTTCTCTAGGAGCGATATCCGATATATCGACGATATATCGCGATATTAACAACATAGGGCATAACAAATCTGTACTACCACAGCAGGTCATTAGAAGTCTACAATATTAGCACGTCTCCCATCCTTGACCACTTCATAAAGTAATCTTCATGCAATAATTCTGAATATGGTTTTATATGCTACACATACAATACAGCCTTAATAAGCTTAAAAAGAAACTACTCTTTCCATAAAAAGTTTCCACGACCAAAGAAGCTACAATTACCTGACACAAGTTACTGACATCAGCCATTATATGCCCAATGACATCAAAACCAAGAGCTCGCAAACACTTCTGCAATCTCTGAGAAAAGAAAATAAAACAGGTTTATGAGTCATTAAGCTAAGAAAATTCTACAACCATGGAGTCTTGTGTCTCAATAATAAATTGGTTAGAACCAATACCAAAACAAAGCACTAAAATGCTATAGGAGATCCAATACTGTTATTATGATTTAATAATAAGACAAAGCATAAGAATCAAGCTGAAAATATTTACCCCAACAGAGTGAAGAAATGAAAAAATTGGTGCTACTAATATTATGAGATTTGCCCTCACCCCAAGAATCAAGAATGGATTTGTTCTTGGCCCTTATGGATCCATTTGTGAACTAATGTCAATTTTGACTGCTGAAATCTCAGGGAATCAATAATAGAACACATAAACATACTTCTAACAATAATCAAACATGAAGAAAAAGATAGAAGTAATAGACAATATGCCTTGAGATATCCATTAGAGCTATCTGGTTCTTTGAATAGAGGCTTCTAGGAAGAACTTGTGTAGAGTGTCGGAAAATGTGTGTGATGGAAAGAAAGAAAAATGTGTGAAATGCGGAAGAGAGAATTGTAATGCTTCGATATATTCTGTTCTTTTTTGCTGACTTTAGTGACACCTATTACATTGACTGGACAACAAAATTAGTACACCATCACATCTGTCCGATGTACAGAAGTTGATAAGCAGCATGTTGTGGTACCTCAAAAGAGTTCTTGGCCCGAGTAGCTTTTTGTTGCATGGTTTACTTAAGTCGCTTAATATACAACATTTCTATACATATTCATACAATACTACATATATGCACACATTGTTTGGTCATGTAATCAAGATCCCATTGTCTGTGGGCTCTGTTTGGAGAGAGGATAAGGGAGAGGTGGAGAAACCAAAAGGGAGTCTTTTACATGTTTGCTAGGGCCTAGGAGAAGTTAATGGGAATGAAAAACTTATGAAAAAGGAAACTAAACAAAGAGAAGTCTTCTTGTACTTGTACAATCAAATGCAAACTTACAGAAGTTAAAAGGACTCCGGAATAAGAGTACTCTCTAAATAAGTAGATCTTCTAGGAAAGTTTTTAATGACAGATTCTAAGTATGTAATTAGCATTTATTCGAGCAGAATTGCCTAGTCTTCTTGTTTGTACAATCATATGCAAACTTTGTAAGTTAAAAGGACTCGTGAATAAGAGTACGCTCTAAAAAAAGTTGATCTTCTCAGAAAGTATTAATCACAACTGAACTAAATGTAAGTTTTTAAATTTGTAAAAAGCATTAAATTGAGAGGAAATGCATTTGCAATATAAAAGAGTAAGTTGAAGTAATCAGTTTATTCCTCTTCAAAAATTTGTAATAACAATTCATTTCAGAGGAAATGTGTTTGCAATATAAAAGCTTAAGTTGAAGTAATCAGTTTATTCCTCTTCTCTTCTCCCATACTGCCAGCCTAGATAAAAAAAAAGCCTCCTAAATGTTGTCAATTTTCTAATCTATAAGATATCCAAAAAGAAAACCAATAGAACCCTTTTGGTGAAGTTTCAAATATGAAATAAACTCTGTCTACTAGCGATCATTAGAGAACATGGATAACATTGATTTCAGTGTATGCATTCCTCTATTTTTTTCATTAAGGGATATTTTAAATATTTGACTAAATAGTCAATTATTTACAGGTTTTCAGCCAAACATTCTGCTTATTTTAGAGAAAAGAGACTAATATATCAAAACATGTTGCCTGCTTAGATGAACAACCTCCTCAATGTACTCAAATTCTATTTTATGGAAGATTGGCAGAGTGTATCCTTTTCCTGTGATAAAGGCCAATTAATGAGAACATGTACATTCTTGCGTATGTATGTAAGAGATAGAAAGAGAGAGAGAGAGAGAGAGAAAGGGGGGATAAACTAGCAACATAGCTTAGTTATTAGAACAAGGATAAAGTAAAAATGTCATTTCTACCAAACATATTTCGAGTGAACCAAATAGCACCACTTAAGATCTATGCGATAACAGAGGTATTCACCTTCCAAACTGCATCATTTTTTGCTGTGCCAACTAGGCATGGATGATGTGAGATGAATATAAGCCGTATACAGGAACTAGGTGCAGCAGCCAAGATACCAGATGATATTACCATCAAAGCCTTTACCAAAACCTCCACAGATGGCACAAAAGCTATTTGAGCATCCGATGAAGTTTCTGTGTCACTACAAATTACATAGTTAAAATCAATAGGTATTTAAATACAACCCATTGACCTCCAGCAGAAAAAGGGTGACACTGCCGGTGGTAAAAGAACATATGAACTGCATTATGGATAAAGTAAAAAAAATGTAAGTACTAAAACAAATTAGAATATGAATGTCATAAGCCAATAGCATGAGTTTAACTTAAAACTATGCATTCTGACTTACAAATCACATGACTATGCATTTCCAAATAAAGGGGGGCCAACTGCTACAAAAAGGGTAAACCACAATGACTAGCAGAATTGTTTTGATATTATCTGGACTTGCTAAAAATATCATAGTCATGATCATAAAGTTGTACACCAACCTTCCTGTGACTCAATTAACTATCCAAATGCTTTGTAGCATTATAAACCAATTTCACATATATATACAACATGTTGAATTTAATTGCTTCAAAAAGCACTTCACAGTTCTATAATTTCTGCATGGTATGGAGGCCAAGAGACTGAATATATACAATGTTTCAATTTCATAACCAGATATTGCAAAACCAAGAAAAAAACAAGCAAGCCCTGCAATAGTAAGACTTAACTTCCACAAATGCCTGCTGCAATGGGATGAACAGATTGATAGAAACTTTTCAGGATCTTTTAAGAACTTATCAACAACATGGGTTGGATTCCACATTCTAGCGCATATGCGGCCCATTATGCATGTTCTTGTTATATAAATAATAAATATGAACCAAAAGATACCAGATTACTCGCCATGACAGAGTGAAAGCATGCATAGAATTTGTACCTTAGCTTCGCTAAGACCTTTTCCCCAACAACATTGAGATGATCTGAATATTCAATTAGAAGAGTTTCGAATAGTTTTGGAGCAGCAGATAGAATCTTCTTGGTACAACCATAAGCTGCTTTACGTATATCCCAACTTGAATGGCACAGAAATGTAAGGATAAGCTGCAGGATAAAAGAATCAGCATGTGACAAAGTTATATAAGGAGGGACATTTATGATGCAACTTCATAGTACTTCACCTGCATGAGTGATCTCACATGAAGAGTCTCAAAAACTCTGTAGAATAGGTAAGAACAAGGGTCAATTCAGAAAAATTATGATGATTCTGAGCATTGATGAAAAAAAATAATCAACTATGATTAACAGGATCAAATGTTCATTAAAGAAAACCTTTGAGGATGATCCACAAAGAGCGACTCAAGTAATTCAATACATGTTTCACAGTCCTCCAGTGACAGTTTAGAAGTCTGCATAGCAATTACATTAGATATATTAAAACAGAAAGAAGTGAACCCATCAAGAGACTGTGCCTGTGTCTGTGCCTATGTGTTGTATGTAAGGTAGTATATGTGGGGGTGTGTCACTGCATGTATATATATATATATACATATATTTGTATATGTGTGTGTATACATGTGCATTAATCACTGCTTGGATAGCGTACATAGGTAAGACAGAGATATTTTGCTATGACTTTGAATGAATATAGATAAACCACAATACAAGAAAAAACCGATAAGTAATGACTTGTAAGCTTTAACAAAAACACCAGATACCAAAGGTCCAGTACAAGGATGGTCCAGATCGGTTAATTTGTCCGTATACTGAAAAGAGTCCCAATTTTGCCAAACCTCATAAAATGTAAATGGGCCCAGTAACCTAATAAAAAATTTACATCTGCATGAGCTACTCTTCGGGATACATTCACAATAACAATTAGGTCTGAGCATAGATAAATATTCTATAACAATACTCTCAATCCTACTTCCATACTTTTAGCTTTAAACTCAGATGTCTGTCAGTCTGTCACACATGCATGGCAAATACAGACTGTAACATCTATGTTGATCACAAGAATCCGCGGGAAATGATTCATGGTGAAGCTCTAACATGAAAGAACTAAGAAATAGCAATTCCTTATGTGAATTGTGAACAAGGCTATTAATGAGACAAAAAAACAATAACAAAGAACAAAGCAATCACAGAAGGGAGCAAACAGAATTTAGACTTCAGTGCTGCTGTAATGATGCACAGATTACGCCAAATAATATCAACTGATGCAATTCTGCCAGATCAAATCTCATCTCATCTACTAACAATAAGAAGCTGTGATGTAGAAACTAAAACAGATGAGTATCTAATACACTTGCACATGAATGCAAATAAATATATACACAATATCAGATACAAAGAAATTTAGAGAACTAGTGCTCACCTAAATTTGTCTCAAATATATAAGAATCAAGGTTAAACAAAAGAACTAGATACTACATATCTATCACCATTCAACAGAAAGCTGAAACTAGAAAATTAAATAAACGAAATTACCATGGCTACAGGAACAACTGAAGGTTCATTCTGCGAAATCAAAGACCATAGCTTTTCCCTCGACACAGTTTCATCTTCAGCAGAAAATATTAAGAAAATGTTATTTTCAATAAAACAATTTCGGCCGTCTGGATGTAAGTGAGGTTAAACAGAAGAAAAAAGGTTAAAGGGTACACATTCTATAAAAAATTTCTGAAGAACACCTGCTTTAATGTCAGCAGCTGCAATCTTCACCACAATGAGTAATGCATAAATGCCATCCAACCGTTGTGCTGCCTTGGTAAAACCAGTTTTTACTAGCTGGACAAGTGAGGGGAGCAAAGAAGATATCTGATGCAAAGCGACACAAAGGCTTTAGCCACATGAAGACAGTTGTGAAGAACAAGATTGAAGACAAACAATTATTACTTAGTTTAGCTTCCTCACCAGTAAAACTGCATCAGGATTTTTGCAAATGATGCGTAGGCATCGAAGATGACCTCTTCTTAGTGATTCCTTCTCCTTGAGCCCTAAGGCCATAAATGAAACAAATTCTGGCCGAATAGCATCCGTAGATCTTGCTACCCAAGAAGCTAAAGCGGTTAAACATGCATGCTTTACCTCTTCATTTCCTGGAAGTTCAAAAGTCAATCAGATGTAACTCATGCATATGCTGATTAAAACTACGGACAAATTATATTGGTGATAACTAATACTTTAACAAATAAACAAGATCAGACATAAACTCAGGGGCCAATACAACAAAAGTAAATCCCAAGATAAAAAGGAAGACAAGCATGCACCCACCATCATCCTTGTAACTTGTCAAAAGAAGGTCACATACAGACAGAGACAGGCTACCAAGATATTTCCCCTCAGGACATCTAGACAGTTCCTGCAGTGCATTTATCATGCCAACCCTCTGGTATGGAAAAGCAAGTCTTCCTTCAGAACCTCCAATTACAGATTTGACGGCAGAGAACATTGCCTCGACAGCATCCGGATTACTAGACTTTTGACACAGACATCTGACAATATCCAAGGCAGCAAGTCTTCTTCCTTCATCCGCATGGCGAGCCTGTGCTAATACCACTGATAAAATCTCAACGCCATACTTGCTCAAATCCAAGTTAACATATCTCAAAAGGACCCCGATGGATTCCAGAACAAGCTCGGGATTCCTTTTCAGCATCTTCACAGATGAAGGAAGAATGACACTCTTAAAATCTTCATGTGACAGACAAAAAAATAATGAACGGAAAGCTTCGCTCAGGGCTTTTGTTGGCTTATCCCTCGTGTTAAGAACCGCTTGAACATACATATCAAGATATACCGGCTGTATGATGCAGAAACAAAAAATGGGGTGAGAAATTGCACTCACTCATGGAAATGAACTTGACATCATAACAAATTATTAAGAAAACTTTGGGTCCAATATAACAGCATGTTGGAAAATTTAATAAAACATTGCATATAATATGAAACCTCCTGGTTCTATATCATGCCCGTGTGATATCAGCAGCAGTAACCACGGGACAGAGAGATTCTTACCTTCCATCTTTCAAACAGTGATGGTTTTGAACTTGAAAAGTCCAACATCACACATAGCATCTCTGGGCAATTTTTATATGAGATTTTTGCACCTTTTAGTTCCTCCATGTACAAGCTGAAAATGTCAGGTGACTGACACATGGAAGAGAAACAAAGTAAAAATTAATAAAAGAGGAATAATTGTGTAAGCATGCATCAATAAGACTTCATGTCAGAAATTAACCTCGAAAAAGGAATGAATAAAAGTTCTTCGGCAAGCCCTCCGCTCATGAGAAGATCCTTGCATGCTAATTTGAAGAATTGAGGCCTGCGAAGCTGCAACTCTGCTAAATGCACTCTTTGACACCGAGATAAACTGACTTCTACAAAGGAGGAGACATGACCAGTTCATAAGTCTATAGCAGCCAACATGAGACTGAAACTTTAACTGTTTTTCCATGCCCTGCACAAGAGTTGCTGCAAATGTTTTCATAAATATAACCTCGCTCAACTCCTTTACAATCAAATCATCCACGGCTTTCCTTGACCCTCGATCATCGTAAATATACAATGTCATAAATATTAAATCCACCAACTGTGACGCAGACTCAGTTGACATCTCTGCATATTGAAATTAGATAATGTTCAGAGCAATAGAGTATCAAAAAGTTGAGGCAACAGGCATGGAAAATATACTGTACAGAGAGTGATCGGTGTTAAAGACTTCTTCATCAATTAAGAAGAATGCTTTAAAGAAAAGGGTATAATGAAAAACATGAATCAACTACAACCCAAAGACAAAGTATTGAGAGTGGAAAAACAGTATGACCTTGGTTTAGATTTTACTTTTCTCTGAGTAATCTAAACACTAAGACTAAGCTTTATAGCGGTGAACCACATGTCAGTATGAGGGTATTATACCTGGCATAGGAGCAGTGGTTGCATGCAGAGTTATCTAAGATGCAAGACACACCGAGGCACAAAGAGCTCCCTAGACCCCAAGCAAGAGGTGCAAGCAAAGCTCTTGCCTAACAGTGAGGTGCATAAGTTAAGGAAATTCATATGTGTATATATAGGTATATATACACGAACGATAAAGTGCGGTGAATTATAAACATCTATTGACTTGAAATATTTGCATTAGCATTAAGATCTAAACAATCCTAATTCTTTTTAGAAATGCAAATCAACTCATAGTCTCACACACCCATGTGCCTGAATACACTCGAACTTAAGTCTTCTTATTCTTTTTGGAATGGCAAATATATTGACATGGTTCTTCTAGACGTTGCTCAATTCCAGCATGAGTTCTTTGTAGGTTCTCAAAGTGCAACAGGGTGAGCACACCCATGTGATGTTAACAGTATCCCCATCTTTTTTACCAAGAATACATGGGGATAAAAAAAAGTATTGGAGGCAAATTTGGTCAAATTTTATAAAATAAAAATAAATAGACATAAAACTGACAACTAATAAAAATTAGAAAACCAAGGCTAAAAATCTGAGGTAGAACTTAAGTCTTCATATCATAAAAGAAAAACAGGAGGTGGAACAAAAACAAGTACTTTTATTCGATAGTTTCGAATAAGATGAGCAAAAAAAGTAAAAATTAAAGGATTCTAGGGGATAAGATAAGGTTATGTGTGTGTTAATTCATAATCTTCATGTATAATTCATAAAGTAACTTCTTTTATGGTTTTTGTTATATAAGCATACATATACTTTACATGTACATAAACACATCACTCAAGTTACTTGTTTTTTACTGGAATTTGGTACAGGTAAAATCTTAAAGATTCATCCCCCCAGAAGAATCTTGTAATTGATGTTTATCAACAAAAAACTGTATAGACCTTTTACAAACACACATAAAAAATTTACATGTTACTAAAATAGTCTAGTTTTTGTTCTTTACTCTTTAGACCCTTTCCCACTTTCAATTTGTGTCAATTTAAAAAAAATGAATGCAATTTTATACCAATAAATTCAATATGAGATGCTATTAGGATGCAATAAATATGTTATAAGTTCAAATAAAAGTTCGCATTCTTCAAATATAACAAACCTAACTTATGCAATGCCTTGAATTGCAGTAATGCAATTATTAAGAAATGAAAAATGACGGAGCATACTTCCTCTAAGTTTTGCAAACTAGTTCTTTATAACAGGTAAAACCAAGAAAAATAAACTTAACCATTTTACTTTCATGCCATAAAATTTAAGATGTGCTCAGTCTTTCTATGTCTAATCAAAGTCTAGAGCCATTTCAAATTGATCCATACAAGTCAGTTTCCCTGTAGTTGCTAACAGATCATGGTGACTGCATAGCTCATTGTCATAAAGGTTGTTGCACTTCAAATATAATGTTTTCCACAAACCCTACCTCTATGACTTTCCCTTTCTGCAACACCCCTCACCCCTCATCTCTCCATACTCTCATATATCAACTTGGTTCTTCATCTATGTTCAATCCAACTAATTCTCAAACCGATCACAGTCAAATAGAAAAATAACTACTCCTTCAGTTCAATCATGTTCGATCCAACATTCTCAAACCAACCACAGTTGAATAGAAAAGTAAGTACTCCTTCAGTTCACTTAACAAGTGGTAGGTCCAGGGTTCAACTCCAGTAACCATCTATCTGCCCTGACACGTAGTTTACCTCCCACTGTCCCACATGATGTTCCTCAGACCGGTACAATGGGGGCGCTCCAGAGGGTGGCGTCAGAGCCTTTTTGCAAAAATACTCGATCACTCTTCCAATTTGAAGAGCACATACACAGGGACGGACCCAGTGTACTGGATATGGTGGCACGGGCCACCGCTTCGTTCCTCCGTCGTAGTGTAAAAAATTATTAGGGCCATGAAAAGTGCTACCATATCAATTTGTTGTGTGCCACCATATATATTTTGAAACTACAATAAGAATACAAGTTTCCCTTGGTAGAGTTGGTTTGCAAGGCTTTTCTTCCACCCCATACCCGAGTTCGAATCCCGTTAGTGTCATTTTCTTAGTTTTTAGCTTTTAATTTCAGAATTATTATGTTTCTAGAAAAAAATCAATAGAAGACTTGAACACAGGATGTCACATATGAAAGCAATGAACTAACCAGCAGACCAACGATGATTTTGTGAAAAAAAAATATTTGTTTCTTATAGTCAAATGATGCCACCACTTGAAAAAAGTTTCTAGGTCCGATCTGCACATACACATGCAGAAATCTGTTCACCTCTTTCAGTATCCAAAATTCATAGCAGGTATTTTATTTTGATCAGCTATAGTAGCATCTTTCTTTATATTTAAAAAAAACAACCATCTCTATGGTTGCTTTCTTCAAACTATAACTCCACTGACTATGATATAAAACAACTTGCTTTTTTAACTTCAAAAATAGTCTAAATTTTTTTATAAGTATGTTAAGCTTTATAATCAATATTACAAGTAATCCATGCTCTTTCTAATTTTTCCATGACATCCACATCAATTTTGCATCTTTATATGTTAAGCTTTATAATCAATATTACAAGTAATCCATGCTCTTTCTAAATTTTCCATGATATCCACATCAAAATTGCATCTTTATAAATTATAAGACAAAGGACAAGCAGTGATTAAACTGTATCCTACACTTATTACTTTTTAAATATAATGAGGAAAAAAACATAGCAATTATCAAAACAGAATTGTACATCAAAACGCACAACTTATCTTGAGAAGTAACTTTAATAATCCAAACAAAAGTAAGAGCCATTTACATTTCTTAAATTCCATTACATATGAAGATATCACATTCATATATCAGAACCCGGTAAGAAGATGATACCACAGATGAACATCAACAAAGTACATATATCCAAGTTGTGATGAGATTAACGTTCAATGACCTGAATTCAGAATAATGGAAGGAATCTCGGAGCGAAAGATCCGAATCCGCCTCTTTGTAGATGAAGTTGGGATTGAAGATGCAAGTGAAACCCACGGCTCCATTGAACTCGCTACTTAAACAAACAACTGATCCTTTCAAAAGAACAAAACTTGAAAGATGATCAAAGTTAGAACCAGCAAGAAAATGGTGTCAAGATCTTTCGCTAAAACGTTAGCGATTTAGAGCTGTGAGTTGGGTTGGACTGAGAGTGTGTTGTATGGCGGATGGTGTTATTTAGGGTTTTAGGAAGCCGATTACGAAGACGGTGAGCGGAACCAAACGCTTCTCTTTTTTGTTTTCTTTTTAAGTCATAAGAATAATTTTAGTTAATACACAATGCGACGAGATATATTTTAATTTTAGTGTTACGTTTTTTTTATTTTGGTTGATGTTATAATATGATTTTATGTGTTTTTAGAAACCGATAATATTTTTATTTTTTGAATAAAATATAAATATATATAAAAAATAAAAATTATATATTGATATTAGTAACAGACTAATTATTTAAAATTTCTTGTTTTTTAGATCTCAATGATTATTTTACTTATAATTTAGTTTTTTTATATTTAAATGAAATGTTTATTCTCTATTTATCTGAAGTTAGTTACATGAATTTAGGCAGGAAGTTTTAATAAGTTGTACTTACGCACAATTTACTTGTAATATTAAATTTTAGGTAATATGCATCAATAAACAGTACTTCATGTATAAAAAATAGTTTTAAAGAGTTTTTGTCAAATACTTTATAATATATTATAGATAATTATATTTTATTTTTAACGTTAATTAGGAAACATTCAAATTCCATTAATATATAACGAGACACATCTCGATTTTAATGTTCTTTTTTATTATTTGTTTATGTCGATGCTATAATACGATTTTATGTGTTTTTAAGAAAAACAATAATGATTTTATTTTTAAATAAAATATAAATTTGAAGATATCGTAAAAATTTGGAAAAAAATATATATCAATGTTAATATCAAATCAACTATTTCAAAATTCTCATTTTTTATGTAACGAAATAATTTATTTTTGGTATAATAATATAACATTTTATAAAATATAATAATTAAGTATTCTGTTATAATTTAATGATTATCCTAGTTTTATTTTAGATTTTATATATTTAAAATGAGATGTTTACTCTGTATTTGATTATGTTTATCTGCAGTTAGTTACACGAATTCAGCTATGAAGCTTTAATAAGTTGTATTTACGCACTATCTACTTGCAATCTTGAGTTTTAAGTAATATGCATTAATAAACAGTACTTTACACATAAAAAAATAGTTTTTAGAAGTTTTTGTCAACCGTTATGCGAGCTGACTAATCTCAGGGCGACCACCTGTTTTGCAGATAGCCCGGAGTCACCGTATTTGAACATCTGTGACCACAAGGGGATTTTTATTCCTCATTAGATTTGAACTTTGGACCTCCTGGTACTGTATATGTCACTCTCCTAATCTTCAGAGGATAAAATTATAAAAAAAAAGGGAGTAAATGAGAGGGCAGTCTCTCATCTCAGTTATTTGATTGATGCTTGGAGTGTGTGTGACAGAACCACAGTAACCATTGGAATTTGCAATAATTATGGTCTGATTACATAGAGAACGTAGGAAAACACATATATAATCATACGAACAGATAAAGAAACACCATGAACATACATATAATCTGCACCCATGGTTCAAAATACGGTGTCAAGCTTCTATAAAGTCTAGAGCCATGAGGGTGCTAAGATTCAGTGGTTTCACGTACTTCATTGAACCATTGAAAATCTCTTGGACAATGAGTCGATTCGCCCTCTCAGACGGGTGGTAGCCATCCCAAAACACGTGCGTTTCTCTATTTGGGCACAAGTTCGATAACACCGTGCAAAGTCCTAATCCGTTATACGGTCCTTGTCCACAGCATGCATCTGTTGCCGTCTCAAATCCTGTACAACTAAAAAAGTTAAAACATGACAATGAATAAAGGACACATAATAAACAGTATAAGTTACAGAAATACCGAAAGCTTTTGGATTGTTGATGAAATTCATGTGCAGATAATTTGTTTCAACGGTTACGAATACATGGTTGCCAAGCTTCTTGTTAAGTGAATTAACCATATCAACGAGCTGTGGATTAAACAATTCGGCAGCTTGTTGGAGATCAGGTGCGCATTCACCTTTCTTGCTACGCAACGCTAAGATCGCAGGCACACAACCTAGTGGCCCAGTACCCGTCACTATTACTTTACGAGCCCCTAGTTCGTATAGTCTCTGCACAAGTATTACGAGCATTCCATGTTATTTCCTCATATAAATATATGACATTATTAATAATTTTAGCAGAAAATATATTTATGATTAAAAAGTATGTATATTTGAATTTTAACTAATCTCATGGCGACTATCTGTTTTGCAGATAGACCGAAGTTACCGCATTTGAACCTCCATGGCCACGAGGTAGCAAGCAATTCATGCAAGATACTTCTTGATATCTCTTTATATGTTTAAAAATGTATAGGTTTTTAATGTACCCATTATCAGTTTTATACTAAACCAGAGTTTGTGTCTGTATGCATGCTCGTTTTCAGTTAAAAGGTCGTGACATTGGAGATTTAACATATGAAAATTCCATTTGAATGCATCGACAACTTATGCATTTAACACACATATGCTCGTTTTCTTACCATTAAAATTTTTTGGTACTCGGAGATGAGGAAGGTGACGTATTCAGGAAGTTTAAACTGGATCGACCTAAGTGAGTTGGGCACCAAATAGTAATTGTTCACGAAATCGTTGCCACCGCAAGTGATCAAAACCAATGCATCGTTGATGAGTTTTTTGGTTTTTTCTGCACCGATTAGATCAGTCACACGACGTTGGTACTTCTCAAAGTCTTGCAATTGAGATGGCATCCGAATAATATTTACCTACAAAAATAAGCGCTCAGATTACAGTATATGAATTAAATCATTTTGGTATCAAATTAACTACAACAGTGTATGACCATCAACAAAATGTTTTAAAATACCCTTTAAAATATAAATAAATTACCACCAATTTCATAGGTAATATTGTTAACTCATAGAAGATTAATTTTAGTATTTATAAAAAAAAAAACTACCAAGTTTTCATGAACATTATTATAATTTTAACGTAATCAAAGGTTCAGATCTCATCTCATCTTATGTTTCTCACCGTAATTTCACCTTTTTCACATGATTCTTCACACACACACACACACACATATATATATATATATATATATATATACACACACACAATTAAACTAAGTAAAACTGGCAGTTAGTTTTGAAAAACAAGATGAGAGAAATAACAATTTGACAAAGGGAACATCAATCTTCTCAATTATCAGCAGTGATTTACGTTAGCAAATCAGATAAGATACATGACAAAATGTTTAATCACTATAATTACAAGAGTGTGTGTGTTTGTGTATATATATATGTGTGTGTGGTTGGGTTCACGTGAGACCAAAGGTTTTTCGTGAGACCCATAAGACCAATTTATGTTCATTTATTAACTTTATAAACTAATGATCTAATGGTCTAAAGTTGCACGGTGACAATTTTGTAATTATAGAGAAGTCTCGTGGCGTTTATGAATGTTCACACTTGACGATTGTAGATCTAATCCAATGATTGAGAATTGGTCTTACGGGTCTCACGAAAAACCCTTGGTCTCATATGATCCAAAGTCTCTCTCTCTCTCTCTCTCTCTATATATATATATATACATGTGTACATGCACACGATTATATATATATGTTTCAGTTAAATTAAAATATAAAATATACAAGTCAGCTGTTTAGCCTAAGTTTATAGTTGTTGGTAAAAACAGGTCAGGTTGAGTTGACCAAATCAATATTTTTTGTCATTTTTTTGGATTTTATAAATAGTTAATGTATTAGTAATTATAATTACAAAAAGTTGTACTATTAAAATGATTTTCTTGTTTTTTAAACAAAACGATTTAATAAATTGTAGATAATTCCTTTGGATGACTTTTGGCCTAATTAACCTGTTGAGGACAAAACTGTAATATAAATCAATCCATTTTTAGGTAAATGGTTTCGGTATAAGTTATTAAGCATGTGATAAAGTTATTTTCAACACTTACAAATTGGACCCCAGTATCATTTAGGATCCCAATCCCCGCAGACGCAAAGTTGGCTCCGTTTAGCAGCTTTTGACCCGTTAGAGTTGGATCTAAGTAAGGCAATAACAGATCAATACCAATACGTTGCCCTGAAACAATATTTACTTACCGATAAGAAAACATATCGCCCGTGGTGTTAAACATAAAATATTAAAAATCTATCAAAACCATTTATTTTTAAAAAAATGTCTATGAAATTAGTCGAATGAATTGGGAGGTCAACCAATAAGATCTGGGATGTTGTAGCCGTTTGAGAACCGGCCTGTGGGACGATGACTGGGGTAATCAATCCCATAAGGAGGCGAGTCAGCTCGTGCAGAGGTAGCCAAAAAGTTATTGTTCCCATTGTCCACCAACGAGTCTCCAAACACAAAGAATGCACGCTTAGTGGTTTCAACCTTCGGTTTAGGAGTCGGGCTCTTTTCAGCACCGAAAACGAGACCGAAATAAAGAAAAATGAAAATGCTAACAACTGGTAAGCAAGACATTGTGGTGTAGCATTTTGAAAATGAATGAAAGGGGGGTTTATATACATGATGAAAAAGGCCATAACCCCTAAAATAGATGCTATTTAGTGTAGTGTAGCTTTGACTTCCATGGGTGATACAAGTCATTAAGAGGGTGAGGTCACTTACTATATATAGTAACATTCCATCTGTCAAGACTATATAGTGTGAATTACCTTTTTCGTCCTCATGGTTTATCGGTTTTAGCAAATACAGTAGTATAAAATGGATTATTAGCAAAATTAGTCCTTGTGATTTTGTTTTTTCTATGGTTTGAGTTTCCGTCATCAGTCATGTCCTTTAACAAAGTCCGTTAGTTTGAAGGGCATGTTAGATTTATCGGTTTCTATTATCAGCTTAAAAGAAAGTGGGGGACAACCGCAACATGTAAACAACCAACCACCATCGTCTACAACATCTCCACCGTCCTCCCCATTGCACCACCAACCTTCCTCTATAACCGGCCTCCTCGGTATCGGGTGATCTACTACCATCATGTGTTTTTCCCACCCCTTCACCTTCTCTATCAATATTTGAACCTAAACCCATCTCCAGTAACAACCTTATTTCGCTTCAGTCGAATTTTAGGACCCAAACCCTTCCCTATCTATACACCTACCATCGATCTTTAAACCCAAACCGTATGTCGCTCTTAACGCTACGAACCACCATCATCTTCTTTTTTCTCAGTCTCATAGTCCTCGTCTACTCTATAGGATGTGCTTTCAAGCTACCATGTCGTTGATAACAACCCTACACTACTTCTACTCTCATTCTTGTCACCAGACAAGATGAGATCGAACCTTAAAATTATTCTTCGGTGATGGCAGTGAGGGAAAGAGGGACACATAGATGGTTTTGAACGGAGGTCTAAAAAGGATTTTTAATTTCTTTAAAAAACATAAAAAGACTAAAATGCCCTTTACCCTAACATACATTTTAACAACGTCGTTGATGGGGACCCAAACCGTTGAAAAAATGAAACATGAGGACTCTTTTCATCAAAAATTCACTTTTAAGCATGATATTCGTTATAATCGATAAAACATATGGACAAAAAAATGGAATTCGCTCAAATATATAAGCTTTTTAACAAGATTTAATTCAAATGTATATGTTTGTTCGTTAATGATTATTACAAGATATTGATTACAACGAGTTTAAACCATAAGTTTTTCGGTTCTGTTATGTGAAGAAACTACATTATATGATTATTTGTTAAAGAATTTCAAAATTACGTATCGATTCAAAAGCTGTATTTTTGAAGGTATTGAATATCTGTATGACTTTGTTCACCTGCTTCTTAACCTTGTGATGCAACATGACTTTTAATATTTCAACAATTTTAACTTTTACATCGGTTTTCAGATCGGTCAGTTCGGTCAAGCGGCTTGGGTTGAAACACACGTCGTATCATTTAATTCATATTTAACGCCCATAATAAAAGTCACCGATAAAACAGTAATGATGCTTCGTTCATTTCAACCAACTCTTTTTGGTCATGTTTCAAACAGACTGTGATCATTTCAAATACGAAGACAACTTTAATGAGGTACTGAATAACGCCCTCGAACGCGTAGCACAGTTGTAAAGGTGTGGGTGGCTTTGCTCAGATGAAATACTGTATGACTCTGTAAACCGAGACTGTAAAAAGCGCTTAATTTCCATTATTGTTATGTTTAAAGATGCGAATTTCGACACAAATGCAACTATGTTTTTAATATTAAATACATTGTATTCTGATACAAAAAAACCGCGATGATAAAAACCATCTAAAATCAAACGAATTATAAAAGGAGCAAAACGAATTAAAATGACCATGTCTCATACATAAAATACTTGAAACAGAGTTTTGGTCCCTCGTTTTTGTTCCATCGATACAAGCTTACATGTATGAGTCAATATGCATGATGGTGCTAAGATTCATCGGTTTCATGTACTTTTCTGCACCGTTCATGATTTGATGTACGATTAACCTGCTTGCTCGTTCAGATGGATGGAAAGCATCCCAAAATACATATTGGTCTCTATTCTCGCACAAAAATGAAAGCTGCGTGCATGTACCTAACCCGTTGAACGGTCCTTGTCCACAACAAGCTGTACTTGATGATATAAAACCTGCTTAATCGTTGTCAGTGTTAGATTGTGATTTAAAATAAAATTTATTTATTTTAAGAGACTACAATTGTGCTTGCCAAATGATTGAGGATCCGTGATCATATCATGATTTATGAGCGGGGCGTTGGCACCAATGAAAATATCGCTGCCATACTTAGCATTAAGTTCTTGTGTCATTTGCTCGAGTTGTGGCTGAAACAAGGCCGATGCGTTTTGTAGCTCAGGGGCGCATCCACCGTCTAGACTATGTTGGGCTCGCTCGGCTGGTGCACATCCCATCCGTCCCGGACCCATCACGATCACCCTCCTTGCTCCCAAATCATACAGTTTCTACATTGTAATTTAAAAAGCTTTTTATTTTTTTCTGAATCGACAAATGACTGAGATTATAGCTTGCGGAAAGAAGATTATTGGTCTTTACAGTGTCGCTCTCTAGCAACAACAAAAATGTCGCCAGCAATCCCATTGAGGGACTCGAGCGTTTTATAAAATTGTACGATATATATATATATATATATATATATATATATATATATATCAATGAAAAAACTCCTTGTTCTGATAGCAATAAATATTTGATTGTGATTGTGATCTATTTTACGCGAATTAATTTGTTATAATATTTAATATAACCAATGTCACTTTTAGAACAAACCAAAGCATATCTACAACGAGAAAAGAAACTTACCACCAAAATGTTGCGATATTCAGATATGACATACGGAACATAATCAACAAGCATGGACGACTGAGACCTGAGCGAGAACGGATATAGGTAATAGTTGTTCACAAAATCATTGCCGCCCAAAGAAACAAGGACCAACGCTTGGTTTACGAGCTCTTTTGCTCGTTTAACACCCACTACAGAACTCAATCGTTGTTGGTACTCTTTGAAGTAGTTGAGCTGTAACGGCATTCTAAGTACGTTCATCTGCAAAGAAAACAAATCTAGCAAAATTTAGAAGAATACCGATCTCCGATTCTAATAAAACAAATCTCAACCGAAATTACATATTTTTAGAAATTAATTTTATCAGAAAAAACCTCAACCAAATTAAATATTTATAGTAATTAATTTTTTCCCCTTGAATATTAATTTTAAAAGTATAATTTAATTTCCATGTTTGATTTGTAGCAAATTGAAGCATTTTATGATTTTTCTTTTTCTTTTTTTTAAGAAAAGTAAATATTTCTTCAAAAAATGTAAAATAGATAAATTTATTTCCAATTAAATTATTGGAGCATTCAATGTATATTATATCAAATTATATATATATATATATATATATATATATATATTCTAAAATTAAATAAAAAATTAATGCAGAAAAAATCTGACTTACAAATTGAAATCCGGTATCATTAAGTATTCCGATTCCGGCCGAAGCAAAATTTGCACCGACGAGAAGTTTTTTACCATTTAGTTTAGGATTCAAATATGGTAATAAGGGCTCTGACCCGATATATTCACCTGCATACGGCATACATTTTGATCAATAAAACATCACATTAACAAATTTTGATCAATAAATCATATAAAAAACACGTCTTTTGAAAAGCAAATGTTGGTTAAGGTCATGTCTGGAAGCATGAAATATTATATTAAAAACAGTTATTGTATAAAATACTGTGTAATAATGTATAGAGTTTTAAACATATCGTAAAAAAACAAAAGAGGTGAAAAGAAATAGAGAAAAGGAACTGAACTGATAACATCAGGGATGTTGAGGCCATTAGAGAAACGCCCTGTAGGTTGATGTCCGGGAGAGTCGATACCATAAGGCAGTGTATCAGCACGTGCACTTGTATACAAGAAGTTATTGTTACCATTATCAACCAAAGAATCGCCAAACACAAAAAATGGTCGCACTTGCTTTTCTTTAGGGCTGGGACTAGGCCCTTCCGATGCAACAGAAGCAGGTGCCGGAGTCGGAGCCTCTGTGGGTGAATCACTAGGCGTTTTTGATGTAGCGTGGGTCCCATTAGGTGCATCAGTATTCCCTTCCGATATGACATGGGTCTTATCGGATGCAGTAATAGGCTTGCTTGGGTTAACATGGGTCCTATTGGGTGAATCACTGGGCCCTTTCAGTGCACCATGAGCCCTGATTGGGGCAGCATGAGTCCCACCTGGTGTAACAATAACCCCTACGACTAAACACAATCTAAAAACCAAACAAAGACGAGGCACTTGAGATCGAATCATCGAGAATATAACTTTTAATCAAACTTTAATTTTTGAGAAAGAAATAGAGGGATTGAGATCTGGAGGAGAGAATTTGATCCAAGGGAAGAACAATTTGACGGGGTTATATAGATGGTTAGTGTAGTATAGGAAATTAAATGTGTGAAAGGTATTAAAAAGTCAACGCGTACAATATCCTAATCTTTTTGAAAAAGGTATCATCATTTACCATGGTCGACCATCATAAATTTTGCAATTAATGTTTTATATATACATATATAAGGAAAATGTTCATTTGAGAAGTGGTAAGTATTTGTGAAGTAAATAAGTGATCTTTGCATTTTCATCTGATCAACATTTGTGTTTTTGACTGCGAAGCATTGGATAATTCATCGAATGAGTATGCAAAAGATAGATGAGTGATTTCATAATTTCTACAAATAGGCGGCAAAAGATTCCCGTTATTTTAGTTCACATATGAACCCACGGGTTCATATTAGGGTTGCACATGGTTTGAGTTGGTCGGGTTGAAGACATTTGAATAACCCAACTCAATGTTTGAGGTTCGAAAAATCTCAACCCAACCCAAACTGTACTAGTTGGCCGGGTTGAATATTTGTTATATCATTTTATAATCTAGCTAAGGGGGTGTTTATTTGCGGCTTAATGAGCTTAATGGGGAGATTGGCTTATTCGCACAGCTCTTTTAGGCTGTTTACTTGTGACTTATTCGCTCAGAAAGTGACTTACTCGCACAGATATATATGTTGTGTTGTCCCCATTCAGAAAAAAATAAAAAGAAAAAAAGACAACCTTGCCCCCCTTTGAGACTCCTCCTTCCAGATTCATCTCGTCTCCTTCATCTCCATATCCAAGCTTCATCACCATCTCCAAATCTCCATATCCAAGCTTCATCACCATCTCCAAATTTCATCTCCATCATCACCATCTCCATCTTCACCATCAATCTCGACCTTCATTTCCAGAGACAGATTTCTTAGATCGGTTTCATAGATCGGTTTCTAGATTGATTTCTTGACATCTTCTTTCCGATGATGATTTCTTAGATCGGTTTCATTTCCATGGATTTTCCCAGATGTTGTTCGATTTCATTTCCAGAGACAGATCGATTTCATTTTCCCTGATTTTCAGTCGTCATCTAGATCGATTTCTTTTCATCTAGATCGATTTCATTTTCCCTGATTTTCAGTCGTCATCTAGATCGATTTCATTTTCCCTGATTTTCAGTCGTCTTCTTCGATTTCCATGGATTTTCTTCCTCTTGTTCTCAGCCTCTAGATTATTATGTTTTGATTTTAGGGTATAACCTCCTGATTTTCAGTCGTCTTCTTTGATTTCCATGGATTTTTGTCACTCTTGTTTGAACTTGTTCTCAGCCTCCAAATTATTATGCTTTGATGTTGAAAATAGTTTGATGAATGGTAGTTTTTTGGTTTGATGATCAATAGTTTTTTGGTTTGATTAACAATAGTTTTTTGGGTTGATTTTGATTGAACTGGTGTAAACAAAAATGGGTTTGAACATGTTCAAAAAAAGGTAAACAGCATAAACAACACTACATTTTTAGCGGTAGATCGGTCATTTATGTCATTCAGATCATTGATTCAGGTAAAAAGGTAAACAATAACACTTCTTTACCCAGACAGATAAATTTATCCAGAAAGATAAATTTATCCATACATGACTTAATAGAAAATTTGGTAAACAGCCCCTAAGTGTTTGTATTTAAACAAAGTAAATCAAAATGATAACATACAAAAAAGACTAACAAACTCAAAAAGGAAAGTTGAAGGTTCATGCAAATAAAAAGGTAAAATTACGAGGTTGATGTCGTAATATAATTTTGAATATAGCTAATTATGGATTGGTCTAATGTCTAATACATTTATGTTAATGAAGGAGTTAAATATCATATTAAATCATAGTATATAAGGTGCATCGGGTTGTGTTGGGTTCAAATAATCCTAACTTAATTCCAACCAATATATGCGAGTTGGCGTAATTTTGTATCAACCATGTGTTGGGTTACCTCGATTCAAGTTTTTTCGGATTGGATTGGTTGGGTTGGGTTGGTCAGTATTTTGAGCATCCCTAGTTCATATGTGAATCAACTATTAGTTCATATGTGAATCAATTAATTAGTTCATATGTTAATATATGGTTTATATGTGAATCACACGGGTTCGTAGATAAACCCATTTGTCATATGTTTGTAAGAGTTACACAACTACTCTCTCTATTTTTGTATAGCCGTAAATGTTGACTAGTCAAAGCCGCAATTATGGACCAACCAAATCCAATCTTCACTGTATGAAATACTAGGATCACTTATTTACTTCTCAAATATTTACCAATTCTCAAAATAACCTATGGCTATATGTGTGTGTGTGTGTGTATATATATATATATAGAAGATGGTTCAAATACTAACCCAATATTTTGTGCAAACTTTGCTAAC